TCACAACACTTAAGGTAAGAATGCTTTCGAGATTTGGGGTAATCATTAATTAAACATCCATCTGAACAAAAAACAGAAGATATCTGCAGGACAACATATATTGGTTTAAATCAGTCTAGATAAGTATTTAACAAATCCCACAGAATTCACAATGAGGATTGCTGTCAACAACAATTTATCTTTGGGACACATGACAGGACAACAAAAGAAAAACAATGTTATCCATTTGGGAGGGCATATCAAACATAGAGTGCCATTTTCAAATCAATCAAGGGCCATAACTCCTTAAAAAAAAGTGAAATTCATTAACATCAAACTTGACCCAATTTTGTCATCAGTAACATCATATTAAACGGGAAAAACATTGGTTGAACTGTTCATAATTCACTGATCAAAAACAAAATCTATCAAGGGCTATAATTCCTGAATGGAAAGAGTAAATATCGTCAATATTAAACTTGACCTCCATTTTGTCATCAATAAAAATGTATAAAAATTTGAAAAATTTAAAAGCATTGGCTTTATAGATCATTAGTGAATGCTCGGAAGCAAAGCAACTGAAGCTGCCTATCCCAATCCATCTCCATCACAGCTGATTGAAATAGAGCTGTTTGTATAGTAAGACTTATAGCTACCAAATGAGACAATGAATTACTAAAATAGGGGTCAAAGGTCAAAGTCAAGGTCAGTTTGATGATTCTGCATACAATTTTGTCCATTTAAGTCCTACAGTACACAATTTATGCACAGGACACAAATGAGACTAGGTTTTACAATCATAGGGGTCAAAGTCAAGATCAGATCGCCCATAGCCCAAGATGCAACTGCATACTAAGTTTGGTTTACCTAAGTTTTATGGTACAAAAGCTATGAACTGGACAGGATTTGGACAAGGATTTACTTTAAATAAGGGTCAGAGGTCACTGACTTTTGTCTATGAAACACTCCCAGCCCATGATGTATCTGCATACCAAGTTTGGTCAACCAAAGTTCAATGGTACAAAAGATATGCACTGGACATGAAGTAGGATGGACAGACACCAATCTGCTGAAAATTGTCTGAGATGCAGATTGTAACAGCCTGGTCAGACAAAAATGATGCCTACCTATATATATATATATTGAGATATTTTTGATTTGTCAACCTACTGGTCACTTAGAGACAAAACTTAGGAATATACCAGTATAAATACAGTTGGATAGCTGCCAACATAAATTCTCATTACTACTCAAAGAAAAGGGAGGGGTATTACAAAATTTTAGTACAAGCTAAAACTACATTTTGCATATTGAAAATGATGCACAACACTACGTTTTGACCATTGCAAAAAAAAAAGAGTACTGCATGTGAATTTTCCTTTCCAGATTTTGTATGAATGATTATAGTTAAACACTCACAATTTTAAGTGTAAAAGAATTTTCTTTGGAAAATTGCACACACACAGATGCTTTGATATAAGAAATTGAATAACTCTTTTATTCAAGCGTCTTTCTTTAAAACATCTTTCATATAAAATATACAGAAGTTGTATGTCTAACATAATGTTAATTGATTCTTTGTTTTTAAATAAATTAACATTGATGTTTTAATATTTTTAAAATACACAGTTTTTCTACTCTTAATTTCAGAAATAAAGGGAGAATAATGGCTTCATCAGATAGGAACGTCTGCAACCTCTGTTATGATGATGATGGAACATCTACACAAGCTGTCACATGGTGCACAGAATGTGAGGTGTTCCTTTGTACACACTGTGGAAAGCATCACAAAAAGTCCAGACTATCTAATGACCACAAAACCATGTCTACTACAGACTACCATAAATTACCAAAATTAATACTAGATATAAGTAGCCAGTGCAGAGACCACAAGAAGAAGTTTGAACTTTACTGTACTTTCCATGCCTGCCCCTGCTGTGTCCAGTGTGTTACTGATAAACATCAGAAATGTCAAGACATGAAACCACTATCAGATATTCTAAAGCAAGTTAAATCATCTGCCTCGGTTCAAATTCTTGAAAAAGATTTGAAGGATATGAAGGAAAATGTTGAAGAGATTACAAAATATTTGAACAGTAGGATTGAAACCAGCAATATTCAGAAACAAAAAGCTGCTGAAAAAATTCGATCTATGAGGAAATCAATAGATGATTACTTGAACAAAATAGAAAAAAACATTCTGGAAAACCTAGAATTTAAACAATTAAACATAAAATCAAAGATAAACACTCTTCTACAACAACTGGAAACACAAGCCAATGAGATAAGCCAATTGCAGAGTGAGTTTTCAAAAATGACACAATATGCAACCGAGTTACAAATGTATGTTGGTCTGACAGAAATTGAAAAAACTGCATCACAAGCAGCAAAATACACAGAAAGTTTAAAAAGTGGAGGCCAATTTGATGAAAATAACCTAGAAGTTACTATCTCATCTGAACTTCAATCAATTTTAAAAGATGTCAAATCATTTGGAGATATTCATATCAATACCAGCCCATTTACTCTTCAGCTTAAGGCTGTAAGAAAAGATCAAGCACAGTACCTAGTTCATACTATTCCTAGACTTGAACAAATTAAGCCATCCATGTTAAGACAACTGACAATTCCAAAAGATATGCAGCCTATTGATATACTTGCCTGTAGAATATTACCTGATGGTAAATATTTAATTCTTGATAGCCATATTAGTCAAAGTCACCTGCTGCTGTTCAGTAATGAAGGCATGTTTATGAGAGAAGTAGTGACCTTCACTAGATACTCATCAGATACTTGCTTCGTAAAAAATAATACAGTGGCTGTCACATTAGGATTAGAAAAGCAGACAGCAATGGTGGATCTAGAAAAGAATAAAATTATCAAAACAATTCACCTTTCTCATATCTGTGATGGAGTAGCAAGTGATGGTCAAATGTTAGTCATCAGCAGTATGAAGAAAAGTACTAGAGTAAATCTGAATGATGACTCACATACAATCTTGCAAGGAATTGTGGCAGATTGTGTTGCATTTTTCAAAGGAAATATCTATGGTTCCATCTGTAAAGAAAACAAAGTCTGCTGCTACAATAGTACTGGAGAACCTCTCTGGACATTTATGCACCATGACATTGAAAAGCCAGGACAACTTACATTAGACAAGAATGGCTTTGTTTATATAGCTTCTCGTGGAAACTACAAAATTATGGTAGTATCACCAGATGGTAAAACCTGTAGGACAATACTATCAGAGGCTGATGGAATCAAAAATAATTTTGCAATAGACACCAACAGAGCAACAGGAATGATGATATTGTCAAGTGAAATAAGCATTGATAGTGAGAACAAATCATATGAAACAGCTTTTGTTTATAAAATCTGATCCCTAGTGTTTACCATTGCCAACAGTATGAAGTCTTCCTTTTTATGCACCCCTGACCCCTACCCGAACCCCCTTTTTTAACAACTATACATTGTTTAGCATTTACACAAACTAAAATATTTTCTTAGTATTGAACATTATAAACGCAAAAAGTTTGACACAGAAATATAACAAAATTGTTTGGAAATAGTATAAAAATCTGGTCAAACAGTTGAGTAAGACTTATCCAAGTTGAACTTTATTCAAACTAGGGATCCTGATAACTACGTTGAAATGTCTAACCTTTTCATGACAGACAACAAAGATGATGCCCCTGCTCCATGCATGAAAACAGTTATTGGATTAAGTAAAACAGTACTATGAAGTAAAATTTGAAATGGTTGTGTCTAAAAGACAAATTTGATGCCCACATCAAAAACATTCAGTCATTATTGGAAATTTTGTAGAAAATACAAATCCTGATAATATGCACTCTATTAAAACATGTTATAATACCCTGCTTAGTTTATAACATTATATGATTTAAAAGATCGAGCTAGAAAAGAGCAGGAGGAGTAAACTAGACAAGCCTGCACCCTGCATCTAAATGACAAAGCTCAACATGGTTATTTGTGGAAATTTGGGAAACTACTAAATGTCAAAGAAAACCAATGCACATCTTTTATATATCTACAAACACTCAACATAATGTAAAGTTCAAGCTTAAAAACTGTCAGACAAACCATGTACCCTGCATGCTAAATATTGTCAAAATAAGTTCAACATTCTGTCATTTGTGGAAATTTTAATGAATATCAAAATTCTGCAAAAGTGCACATCTTAAGTATAAAAATTATGCACTAAAATCCTATTAAATATAAAAGTTCTAGCTTAAAAACAGTAGAAGGAATGTAGGTGACAAACCATGTAGTCTACGTTAGACAAATAAGATAACAACAATATATCCCACATTCGTCAAAGAGGCATATAAAAGAAAGTCAATCAATGGAATTGGATGGCAGGAATATGTTATACTACATTGCATGATACTTCATACAAAAAAACCTTTCACTTAAGCAATGGATAAACATTTTTCACAGTCTATTTAGTTTGAAATGAACTCAAAACTGTAATTGGGAAAAAATGCCAAATAGTATTGTGAAAGGGAAAAGCCTATTGTATAAGCACACACACAGTAATTGTAAAAGTCTGAGAGTTAACTTTTTGCTTTTCCCGCTACAATTCATATTCTGAACCTGGTTAGTCCATGGTTAAATCTTGTTCAATTAATACATGAATTGATATCTGCTTAAACTGATGCAAAAAATTATTTTTATATTTATTTTAATTTTATTTGCGTCTCACCTGTCATTCCTGTCCTGTCAGTGAAGGAGTGAACCGGGAAGTTTGACTGCCAAAAACTATTTTCATGAAGGTATGAATTCCCAACCAACAAGGGAATATAGGATTACTATGTCTTGCTTCCACAACTTTCATCGCAGGCTTGACAAAAATACTGCACCAGTAAAAACTGAAACAGGTCTTATAAGTATAGAGGCCTTTTTGGGGGAAGATGGCTTATAAGAGTGAACAACTGTATTAAACTTGATCTACTATTTTGAAATATAAGCTGAAAACCAAAAAGATAAAAATATACACTTACTATCTATGGCTGCTGAATGTGTGTTACTGGTTGCTATGGAGACTATATTATAGCGTACTAATGGTTTTACTGTGCTGAAGGTGTATTTACATGGGATATCATAACTCTGGAATATAAAATATACACAGGATATCAAACTTTGGAATATAAAATATACACAGGATATCATAACTCTGGAATATAAGATATGCACAGGATATCAAAACTATTGAGTATAAGATATGCACAGGATATTATAACTCTGGAATATAAAATATACATGGGATATCATAACTCTGGAATATAAGATATAAACAGGATATCCTAACTCTGGAATATATAATATATACAGGATACTACAGCTCTGGAATATAAAATATATGCATGATACCACAGCTCTGGAATATAAAATATATACAGGATACCACAGCTCTGGAATATAAAATATATACAGGATACTACAGCTCTGGAATATAAAACATATTCAGGATATCCTAACTCTGGAATATAAAATATATACAGGATACTACAGCTCTGGAATATAAAATATATGCATGATACCGCAGCTCTGGAATATAAAATATATGCATGATACCACAGCTCTGCAATATAAAATATATACAGGATACTACAGCTCTGGAATATAAAACATATTCAGGATATCATAATTCTGGAATATAAAATATATACCATACAGGAATTCTTTACTCTGGAATATAAAATATACACAAGATATTATAAATCTGGAATGTAAAATATACACATTTTGTCATCAGCAAATAAAAACATAACTAAATTTGTATTTTTTTCAAGCAGGATGTATAAAGACGCACTCACGTTCGTTTAGATCTATAAAGAGGTTAAACTCTTAACTATCCTACTGTCTGTCGATACATTTATTTTTGGCATTGCACTAGTCATGTCTTCTTTGACTGTCCATGACGTTAAAATACTAAATCCCTGGGATGTGTTTTAGTTGATTTTAGTCTCTGATGCATGATTTTTTATTATTAATTGTTTTGGCTTTTAACTAGCTGTCAGTAACTGCGAGTACTCTCAAATCGTACTTTCTTGTTTATTTGACCTGTTGATACTAATTGTATTGCTTTTTTGTTATTTAATGTTATTCAGGGTTATATCTGGTCTATATACCAGCTTTGATAAGTGTTTGGTATAACTATAAATTTTCACTTTGTACTATGAACATCAAAATTATTTATGTTGTAAAAATATTTCCTTTCTCTATTGGTACTGTACACGTATACCTAACAACAAAATTATTTTCATTTACCTGTGTTTAAAGTTATTGCAAATGGCTGATATTTTTGTTCGAGCATATTGTTTTTCTTTAATTGTTTAACATTTCTTACCTATATAACATGTTACTTTTATTATTCTTCCCTTAGTTTATTTATTTTGTATTTACATTGTGTCATAGGTCAAATTTATTTGTTCAGTGTATGTTCAATGGTGTTAATATGTCCTTTGATTGAGTTAAGCTATTTCAGTTGATATTTTATAGTGTGTCTTTCTATGTTGTGATGTTACACTATTGTTTCAGAAAAAGGGTGAAGGTTTGGTACCATTAAAACGTTTAAACCCACTGCATTTGTTTGCACCTGTCCTAAGTCAGGAATCTGATGTTCAGTAGTTGTCGTTTGTTGATGTGGTTCATAAGTGTTTCTCGTTTCTCATTTTTTATATAGATTAGACCGTTGGTTTTCCCGTTTGAATGGTTTTACACTAGTAATTTTTTTGGGGCCCTTTATAGCTTACTGTTCGGTGTGATCCGGCTCCGTGTTGAAGACCGTACTGTGACCTATAATGATTTATTTTTATAAATTTTGACTTGGATGGAGAGTTGTCTCATTGGCACTCATACCACATCTTCTTATATCTACATATTATCATAACCATGATAACTCTGGAATAAAACATGTACACAGAAAATAATAAAAACTAAAATTGCAAATGCAAGCAAAAGTTGATGTCACCCCAGTCCACCAATTGCAACAGTTACAGCACCCACTTTGAAATGTTAAAACAGTGAATGGAAATATAAATATGTGCATAACAACAAATATTTTTGTAAAAGTTTGGAGCATTTTTAATTTTTCACATTTTTCCTGTTTCTATGGTAACGATGGCCAATTTTAAAATTCCAAAGTTAAAGAGCATCTCTACACATGCCAGCTGACACTTCTGTAAAGTTCGTTAAGCTTGGAGCATTTTAAATTTTTTGACATTTTTGCTATTTCTATGGTATGATGGCCATTTTGAAATTTTAAAAATCTTATTCCACATCTATACATTGAAAACAACCTGGTCTTATATTGAACTGTTACACAACTGTCCCAGGTTAGGGTTTTATAAAGGACAAAGGATGTGAACAATTACAGGTAACTGTACAGCCTTCAACAAAGAGCAAAACTCATACCATATACACATGTAGTAAGTTAGAAAAGATCCTATTAATGAAAAAATGTGAAACAATTCAAAGGAGTAAATAACAGCCTGATTAATACTACTACAATGCAATGAATGAAAAAGACAGCTACCAACAACATCCACTGGATTAAAGGTTTCTGACATCCATCCCCTAACCTTGGACAGAAATTAAAATGTAATAACAGAACATAATAACAAACTGTAAAAGTCAATTGGAAAGGGTTTAACTCATCATATCTATACTAAGCTAAGCGCATAACTCTGGAATATAAAATATATACATGAAAAACTCTATAATATAACATATACAAATTATATCATAACTCTGGAATATAAAATATTCACATGATATCATAACTCTTGAATAAAAAATTTACACAGAATATAATAAATCTGAATATACAATATACATATTACATAATACGATTGATTAAGAGGTTTGGTATAATAACCCTTGAACATGAAAAATACACAGGGTATAAGGGTAACTAACTTTGGAACATAAAATATACAAGGCATAATATAACTTTGGTATACACAATATTGATGGGATATCACTATGAATTGAGTCTCTTAAAAGCTTGCATTGCTCACCTGAAACTATGGCAAATGTAAACCATGGCCACATTCAATAACTATTTCACTAATTTAATCTCCTAAAGTTTGGAAGAATTAGTTAGTCCTTTAATGCAGTTAAGAAATGTGTCATTGCATTTTAAAATGATTCAGAATAAAGAATTACCATATTCAAGTTGTGAAGCTCTAATTCTAATATGCTTCTTTCGCTATGTAAACAACAGCTTAATAAAATTCTCAATATATCTATACTTAATGCAGACTCAGAGATGTACGATCGAGATAAAATTGGAATATAATGGCCCAGACCATGTGAAAACTTCCAACAAATCTATGGATTGTATGAATAATTTCTTAAATAGAAAATTAAGATGAGAATGACTAAACAAAGAAACATTAACTGTACACTGGAAATAATAACTCTTGCATGAATACAATATTTATATTTGGCTTTAAAGACTATAAATAGCCTTTTCGATAATACATTGGTACTAATTTAGTCCATTTAATTATATATATATATATATATATATATGGTAAAGAAAAACAAGGGATATTTATGACTTAAATCCTTACAAACACTTGGCTACTCTCAAAGCAAAAGAAAAAAGTTCTTCAATTAAGGTTTTCATATCTCAAAGTCACAGTGAGGACATCGACATCACAACTTACTGTAAATTAGGGAATAAAACATAATACTGTATATTCAGATATGTATTTGTGTGTGCATTTCATATTCAAATTGATGTCAAATTGACAAAAATGTCATATTAATCAATGCGTTTTCTAGAAATGCTACATACCAGTAATGTTGTGGAAACACCAAATGCAAGATTTTTCTATTTGCAAAACCATTTCTATTGCAATTTTCGCTATAATAAAAAACAGTGCAAACATTTCTAAGTTAACAGTAGTTATTAACTTTCATTGTGCTTTAAAACATCCTGATACAAAAATGACTAAAAATAGATTTTATAAATTGAATAATTACACACCTGTTTTCTCTTCCGTAGTCCAGACATTTCTGAATTAAATCCTAGAATATTATGTTCATTACTACCACAAGCCAGAACACGACCAGTTGTTGTAATTAAGAATGTCCCTTCACTTCCTCCTAATACATGCTTAATCAAATGCTTTCCTGGGGTTTTCACCTTTAAAAAAAGAGAAAGAAATGTGTATTGAATAATTATAAGTGAACATGTTATTTGTTTTCTATGTGTGTACACATTTTATAATGCAATTTTGAAAACCTACTTGAGTTTTTATGTGTATTGGGTGTTTTCCTACATCTTAGATTGTTAAAAAGCAGAAAATAATCTCTCTATATAAAAATAAGGAGATGTGGTATGATTGCCAATGAGACAACTATCCACCAAAGTTCAAACGAAGCGGATGTAAGCATTTATAGGCAACCGTACGGCCTTCAACAATGATAAAAACCGATACCATATAGTCGGCTATAAAAGGCCCCGACATGAAAAATATGAAACAATTCAATTGAGAAAACTAACGGCCTAATTTATAATAATCAATTTAGGAAAAACAAATATAACAGACATGAACCAACAACAACCACTGTACTACAGGCTCCTAACTTGGAACAGGCACATAAAGAATGTGGCGGGGTTAAACATGTTTGTGAGCGCTCAACCCTCCCCTAACCTGGGACAGTGGTGTAACAGCACAACTACAAAAAACGGACAACGTTATACCATAATACAACCTGTAAACGGGCGTACAAAAACCTGTGACCCATAATTTTTATTATATTTTTGAAAAAAAGCATGATACACACTTCATTTTATTACTGGTAATTATTAAAAAAATCTATCAATTTAAACTTAGACTCCCTTCTACCTTAAGTATTTAGTGTCAAGCTGAATTGCAGGTTTCATACAGAACTAGCCTGTGTACACTCCATAACATTTCATAAGACCAACTATTCATTTTTTTCTTTAGAAACTTCAATCAGGGTTATTACTAAGGATTTTTGATGGCTAGTTCAGGGACTCACCAATTTCAGTCATGGTGAGTCCAACAGGGAGAAGATGAAATTTTATTATATATTGCTATAGTATTTATTATTTCAGTCTCCATGACAAAAAAGAGCAAGGAAATGACTAAAATTTAGATTGTTCTTAAACTTTTTATATGAATTGATATTTGTGCTCAGTTGATACAACATTTCAAAATCTTGATGCACCTTTGGATTCAGTTTTGAAAATGATGATCAGCCCAGATAGATTTTCATGAGTGTTGGACTCATACACTCTTGTGATTTTAATTTATCAAATAAAATTTTTACCTTTTGAGGTGAAAAGTAGTCATCTTCACTGTTTAAACCAAGTCGACCTAAAACAGTAAAAGAAATATTATCTTAATTAAATTACCTTGATATTTTTGTGACAGTGATTGTGAAAATATAAAATGTTGAACAACAAAAATGCATGCAAAATGTATGATTGTAATAAAAAAAATTTTAAGAATCTATAAAATTTCAGAACACCTGATCTGTTGACATTTCAAAGTTCAAATCCAACTTAATGAGCTCTTGAAACATGAAGGACACACTGCAAGGCAAAAAATTGAACCATTCATGAACTTGGTTTCCGACAAAATTTTCTGTCAATTTTACTGATACCCCCCTATTTCAGTATCTACAAATTGATTGATTATACTCAATAAGCTTAGGTAGTCATGAAATCAAAAAGCAATTATATCTATCTCTATCAACATTTTTTGCAGTAATTACAAAAAAATTAATTATGATATTTTACTCTTCTGAAAGCACATCATAGACAACTTTCATTAAAATCTCCCAATCTCCAAGTGGAGGATAATAACATATGTCGAAGCGAAATAGTTACGTGCATATGATAAAGGGGAGATAACTCTACCAAATCCTAACAATTCCTACTTTACAAGTCTCAATACACCAGTTCCTGAAATGAATGCCCACTACACACATCTCAAGAGCCTACAGGAGGTAATTATTTAACTTACCAAACTCTCCTTATCCTATATATAATTCAATTATTTGTGAGGGCAATTAAAGAGAGGACAACTCTGTAACTTGCCAGACTTTTCACATCCAATGTGTTAACATTTATTTTAAAGGGTCACACACAGATTGTCAACAGCATACCAAAAAAGAGAAATAATTCTGTGAAAAATTCTAAAAGCAAAAATTCTACACATCTAATGTATACATTTATCTCTTTGTGGTTGTAAACACAACATTTCTAAAGAGTGGATGTAACTTTTTTACTTATTAAACCTCATTGCCCAAGCAGACATCTACTACCATTTTAAGGTACAAGGGTTACTAGCTTTGTAACTTACTAAATCTCATGTCATAGTAGACATTTGCTTCCATTGCAAGGTACTGGGGGAGAAAATTTTGTAACTTTCCGAATCTGATCTTGCCTAAGTAGATATTTTCTTCCTTAGCAAGGTACTAGGGGAGCTAACTTTGTAACTTACCCAATATTATGCCCAAGTAGACAATTCATTCCATCGCAAAGTACAAGGGAAACTTACTTTATAACTTACTGAATATAATGCCCAAGTAGACATCTGCTGCCAATATAAGGACCTCACAGCATACAAAGGGAAATAACTCTTACCAAATCTATTTACTTTGCAGATATCTGCTTCCTTGTAGTAAGAGACTCACAACAGTAATTACCCCAACAGACAAGGGGATGTAACTCTATTTACTTACCAAACTCTCCACATCCCCATGTATAGACATCTCCTTCCTTTGTAAGTGCCACACAATGGTTGTCACCACAGGATATCTCTTCCACAGGTCTGCTGCTGAAGAAATTTATTGGTATCAGAGAAAGTACAGAATCACCTTCTTCATTGTCAACACCAAGGCAGCCATAATAATCTGACCCACTAGCATAAACCTGGCCTTCATCTGCATAAATAAAAGTATGTCTAATCATGCATGTAAACCAAAATTCATCAAAACAAAAGTATCTAAACCTGGCTTTCATAACAACACTATATTAGGAACTAAATATACTGTAAGCAGAGTTAACAAATTTATACATGTATAGACAAAAGATAGAAATTGCCATGTTTTTCTAAGGGAAAATTAAAATCACTAAAGATGAAAAACAGAACAAGAGGCTGTTGACATAAGATACTAAAGAATCTTTGGCTCTATCTTTGATCTTAGATCTATACAAAGGAATTGTCAAGTCCATGTTAGCATAAAGGAAACCCATAACTTTTTAATGCATAGCCTTGGAAAAAGCCAGTCTGACTGTATCATAATAATAAAGCATTTCCTAAAATCACATTGGTTTAGCTCCCATCTTTTTCCGATGAGCAGCAATTACAATAATCCAACAGTTGCACTATGTACATACCTGTAACAGCCAGTGTAAAGTCCTCTCCACAAGCTGCCTGAATAAAACCTGCTCCACTTGGTCCTTCAACTTTCTGTGGGGCTTTGTATGCAGATTTGTTCCCCTGACCTAACTGTCCTACAATCTCTGTCCCGCCCTGTACATTCTGAAAAAATAAATATTTCAAATGGTAATCAATGTGTACATCCTATACCTATGGATCACTCACTAAATCCTAGTGTATGCTTAGCATGACATGGTTGAAACATTTTTTCACAATGCACTACAGTATACTCAGCATGCTTTGTATGTTTGACAAGTCCACCATACAGTTTTAGCCTTTAGTCTGGAATTTTTAAAAAAATTTTAGTTCATTTATATGTTTCTGAGTTAGTGTGACATCAATTTTCACTGAACCAGTACACATTTGTGTTTAGGGGCCAGTTGAAGCCTGCCATCGGGTGCGGGGATTTTCTCGCTGTGTTGAAGACCCATTGGTGGCTTTGGGCTGTTTTCTGCTCTTTGGTCGGGTTGTTGTCTCTTTGACACATTCCCCATTTCCATTCTCAATTTTAGTGTCTTAAAGATTATATCATACTGCAGATTTATTTTTTTCATGGACACCAATTTTTCGTGCATTGAAGAAAAATTATATTTTCATGGATATTTGATTTTGCTTAAGTCTGCAATCTAGCCTAAAGAAAATTTGCACTTGGTAAAACATTTGAATTTATGGTTTATCTAAAGTGACATAGTATACATGTACCAACGAATTCCATGAAAATTGGAATCCCACGAATGATAATGAACCCCCAGTACCTAGTATCTTTCTAATTAAAAATGTTTTAGTGTTCATTTAATATGTAGATGCAATCTATCTATATGCATAGCTTTTTCTTTCCATATCTCTTTCCCTTTGTTTCCTTTCTTCTTTTTTTTCAATTCCAGTGTATGTTTAGAAGAATGTCAATAATACAAATTCTTAATTCATAATATGTAGAAGGTCCTATAACAACAACACTTTAAGGAATGCTCCCGTAATTTATTGAGATCGACATGTTTCGGTGGCTAGGCCACCGTCGTCAGGATAGAAAACATTACATAAAATCATGCTGATGTACAAAATCAGGTTGAGAAAATTAAAACGTCACAATGTTGCTATGGTGAGTAACGTTATAAATAGCAATTGAAAGAGAAAGTGAAAGTAAGTACTGACAGAAGATTTACCAGGCGTTGGTTCACTTGTGTTTAATTTTTTAATTCATAATAGTAACTTATTCATTACAATGTGAAAGGCAAAAACAAATATAAATGCATCAAAGGATCAAAAACTCCCCCCAATGGGTATCCATGATACAGGGGCAATAATTCAGCACTGACCTTTATTTATTGACTACATTTTTGTAAATTCTAAAATATTAAATTTTGAAAATTTTTGAGAAATGTATGATGAAACGCAATTTTACTGCTCTATGCCAAATAGAGAAACCAGGAAGAGACAAACAATAGGAAATTTGTATTTTGTGAAACATTTAAATTCATTTAAGAATTGAATGCTACTTTTTGTAAATTTATTGGGGTGTAAAAGCGTTGATCGAAGTACATTTTGTATTCCCCATTTCAATCTAAAAATGTGCGCACGGTCAACGCTTTTACAACCCTATAAAATTACTAAAAGAAGCATTCAATACTTATAATTACATTTTTTTTGCTAAGATCTTGAAAACACTATTTCTATCAAGTTTTTCTTTTATTTACCTGTGCACTTTATTGTGGAAGCTCGTGTCATCATGAATGTTACATTTCATTTTGAAATGAAGGTTAATTTCAGAATGATGCGAGATTGCTGTTAGCCAATCAAAATAACGTATTATAATGAAACATACATGGAATGTAATTATTACCCTCAATCCACCAAATCAACTGATATTAAGACCCCAGAAATAACTATGAAGACACAGTATGTTTGACTTTGATTATACAAGTTCCATTCACTATAAAGTTAAGAAAAAACAACTTGCACCAGTTCCATTCATTCAATTAGAAAAAATACAGAGCTTATGACTTGATACCTATTACCTTACAGATATGTCAAAGTCTAGCTATAGGGAAAAGCAAAAAAAATTTCACAAAAATAACAAAGGCGGAAAACAATTTCATTAACTACTGGAGATTTTATTCAAAGCAGCTGGGCCTCTGGTTTTTAGTTTAGAAGGATATGCAAACAAACTTATACTAAGTGCAGACATGAGAACGAAAAAATCAGAGGAATAGCAATGGTGAAATGTCTAAAAATCCTGATAACATTTTTCAACTTAATTTTGATCAAGAAAAGCATATTTTTCCATGGAAATACTGCAAATAACCACATACGATTTGAAATTTACCAGAGTTTCATCAAGTGGCAAAAAAGAATTTTTTTCTCATAAACCTGTGGCAAATAAAAAGTTCTTACAATGATAAGAGTTGGTTCTATAAATTTCATATGAAATCCCAGAGAAATCTTTTTGTGCTTGCTATGTGGTTTCCAAATCCCCATAAACCATCGAGTTTCCATAGAACTCTCTAATAGTAGTTTTGGGGAATTCCCAGAGAGTAAAAATAGGGATTATGTTTATGCTTATGGTCACAATGATCAATATACACCCAGTGAAGCAAGTTAAGGGTATACAAATGTTGATACAATACATATTAAACACATTTACTTACTGCCCATGTATACAGTTCTTTCTCCATGGTAACAACAGCAAAGTGGGAATTTCCAACAGCTACCTAAATTAGGTTTAAAAAAAAGCATTTAAAAGTTTAATTTGGATTATTTGTTAAATACATTTTTTATCAGTATAAAATTCTTGTCTAATTTTCAAGTTTTAGATGTGATACCATCATGATTAAACTAAAAACTTTAGTAGTGACATTAAACATTCATCATTTAGTAAAGAAAAAAAACCCAGCTTGAACTGCCAAGTTTGGAAATATGAATAAATAAAAGAACAGAGTTCCAATGTCCCCCACGTTGCACATATTTTATCTGTCCAAAGGCAATAGCTAAGGCCACACCAATTTCATTAATAGTTCTTTGGATTTTCCCACTCCTGTTTTGGAGAAACTGACTTTTCAATAAAAAAAAAAAATTACCGCTTCTGAAAATTTTTGGTCCACATGCCACTCCAAAATTTGTTTCTCCTTGAAATTTTTTTTCACATAGACGCTTTTCTGATGGATATAATCCTCCTATCATTTTAAACGTACGTGTGATAAATCGATTTGTAAATAATAGGTCAAAAATTGGGATGCCAACATGCAGTTATGTCAGTTCATTGCTGTGGACAAGTAGTTATTGAACACACAGTTATCCGAAATGCTTCTCGTTTTACCTTTAAAGACCTGTTCTAGGATGAAAAATTAAAAATCTTTCGTAAGTTGACCAAAAACACATCAATATTTGTTAGAACCATCGTCATCCCTGATCCTTGTTTCAACAGACATAGACCTATCTATCTTTTGGATGAAATGAATTGTAAACTCCCATGAACTTTTTAAAAAATCACAGAAGTATTTGATGTTGATGAAACCCCATATCCCCTTGTTAGCCTTTTGGCATGTAAGCAGAACTCTTCTTTTGTTGGGGGGAATTTAAAGAGTTCCAACGAGACCAAGGTGATGCAGTATTGTGATTGGCATGCTCATAATAATTAGGGGTGTGTAATTGGTTCAACCACTTCCAGTCATGTTTAAGAGTTTTAAATGCATTACAGCTTTTAAGAGCAAAAGGAAAGAGTATTTTGCTCAGTAAGAAAAATGCATGTGAATGGGGCGACAGTTATTTTAATACATTTGGATCTACATGTATAGCAATATAACTATATTAATCAGAATGTTGTTTTAGTACAAAGCAAGAAATATTCACCTCACTCATTATTTTGATCCTAAATATGCATAAATAGTTCTAACTGGATGTCAAGCAGCCAATAAATAAAGGTAACAGTAGTATACCACTGTTCAATAGTCATAATTCTATTAAGCAAAAACAAATCCGGGTAACAAACTAAAACCGAGGGAAACACATCAACTATAAGAGGAAAAGAACGGAACAACAGAAACACTGAACTACAACAATAAACAATCATTACCATACAATGAAAACAACTATCAAATATCTTTCAGGGGCATTTTTTTGGATACATACACATAATTTAATTTTATTCAACATGTGTCATTTACCTAACTAACATACTTCCTCTTGTAAAACTGCATCTGCTATGCTTCCTAAATATATATATATGGATTTAAGTGAAAATTCACACAGACAAAGCTTATTTGAAGAAAATAACCAAAATTAACTAAACCACAGTGAGACAAGAAAGTCTGATATGGTACAGGCACCAATAAATCAAATTATATGCATTAGAGCATTTCTTGCTCCTCGTTTTTCTATGAAATAACCCAGTTATAACAAGCATATAAATTGTACAACTTCTAAATCACACAATTTAAAAAAAAAATTATACCGCTTGCTTCACTTGTAGAGCACTTGCCTCAAAAAAACTCATTTTCAAGAAATATATAAAAACAAAAAAATTCGCTCGCTCGCCCCATATTTTTTGGAACTATTAATCAAATTGGTGTGGCCTAAAAAAATTTTTTTTTGTTCTTTAATACAATTTTTTCTAAATTTTTTTATAATATGTTAATGAAATTAAAGGTGAAAGCCCTTACAATGCAATTTTCCATATGATCAATATTTTTAAAGGGCATAAAAAAGTTGAACGGCACTGATTTTCAAAAAAATGTCTGAGACATTGCTGATATAAACCTCTGATATAAGTTTGATAAAAATCTGGCAAGAATTGTACACACAAGAGTGCTTACAAGACCAGACAGACGTACCTACAGACGAACCCACAGACACACAGACAGATGCCCGATATTTCTATTCCCCCCAACGCATCGTATTGGGGACAAAAAATAACAGTGGACATAATTTTATTTGATGCTGCAACTTTGAAAGCAATCACATTAAATTCGTGCTGAATTTGTGATTCCAGTACAAAGATGAGACAAAAAAAAATAAATATAAAAATAATAAAAATATAAATGATGGCGTCTGTTTGTATTGATGCATCCAATACAAAATTTACTGTTTCATTGAAAGTATAAGTATAAAATATATGTACATTGTCAAATAAAGAAAATATTTGTATAAGCTTCAGAATCTGGAAGAATATTGAAACTCTCTGAACTTTTCTCCTGTTTCATAGAGTGACTACTACAACTCTGTTAATATCGTTTTTGAATGTGCCAAGTATTTACCGTTTTAATCAAATTTTGTGCTTTACTTTGGTTCTGTGGTTACGAATTCAAGTTTTAGTAACCTTTTAGCCAAATTACTTTTTGTGTCAATTAAAATTTAAGAATGGGCCAATTCTCTATTATATAAATCTCAAGACTTATGGGTAACATTATTATATGTTTACCAAAATGGAAATAAGTCATAAATCCAATGTCAAGGACTTTAAGACAAAAGAAAATTACTAACTCACATTAAAACAATGGTTATTTGCACTAAACATTTCAAAGAAATTAGGTTAGAGAAAATTAACTTTGGGTGGAAATATATTTATTTGACCTTGTAACATGTTAGTGCTAATTTGGCCCTGTAAATTCACCAACACTAAAAAATTGTAGGATAGTCAATATCCATCAAATTCTGTAAGTTTCCAGAGAAAGGTTTTCAGAAAATAGGAATATTTGTAAAGCCTTGATGACAAAAACTGTCTATGACATAATAAGGGAGATTTTTCAAATTTTAAGCAAAACTAAGTCAATTTCCGAAAAATGGCTGTATAACCCATGAAAAGTGTTTATTTACAACCCAAATTACAATGTTAATAATATAAATAGTTTCACACTTGATAAAGCAAATTAAAGATAGATTAAATTACATTTGACTTTAGGGCCACATATGCCCTAAATCGTACCTTCTCCTTTCCTGCTTCAAGCTTACCTGCACTGCACTTTTGCCTTTAGTAAATATATCTTGTTTTTGTGGAGTAAACTTCCCACCTCCCCACTGGTACACCTAATGGAATAATAAAATATTTGTCATAGTCATTAAGATATGAGCAACAGATCTATCAACCAGGGTATTTTGTAACATGATTTTTTTTCCCCTCAATGTTAATATGGGGTTTATTTTCGCATCAGGATTTGTTTATGGTTTAATGCTGCATTCACACGTAATTCGAATTCGTTTTTCATTAACTAATTCGAATTAGTTTAATTCGCATTCGAAACGTTTAACGTCCAAACGTAAATTCTAATTCGAATTGCAATGCGCATCAAATTCGCTTTACTGTCCTAACGACGTTAACTTTTAATTCGTATTAACAAAAACGCATTTCTAATGCGAATTGGATAATGCGATTTAGCCAATTCGAATCAATTCGAATTAAAAAAGAAGAGTGTGTGAATGCGATTAGCGATTTCGATTCGCATTCGATTTGAATTCAATTCGAATTAAATGTACGTGTGAACGAGGCACAAGTCTTTGACTGGTATTTTCCCTGTGTTCATTGATTACATTTCGGCACCTTGTAAAATGCATTTAAATTGACAGAGAAATATTTGCTTAGGGTAAATGGTTCAGTTTACTGCTTATCGAAAATTAGAAATATGTGAAAATTTGTATGTTTACATATTATAAACCTATAGAATGAATAAATTGGTACAAATAAAGGTATTGTTAATCTTTTTCCTTTACAATACCTACCTCACTAGATTTTGATTTGATGATAGGTACGGTTTCAGTTGAAGCTACGGACTGTAATCTTAGTCGTCTAGATTGCGTGTTCAATTCCCAAACTTTTCTCTTCATATCTTCATTGCTACAAAATGAATTTTAAGACTACAGTCTTTAACTGTTACATAGATATTTTCATTAAAAACAGATAATATTCCATTATTTCTGTGATATTTAATAAGGCAGTATATAATGCTGTGTTTGTCTTTCAAAAGACATTTGATGTGAACAGACTAAGAATGAAATACCAATTTGAAATTTGAAATACCAGTATGGGCTTTGCTCATTGTTGAAGGCCGTACGGTGACCTATAGTTGTTAATTTCTCTGTAATTTGGTCTCTTGTGAAGAGTTGTCTCATTGGCAATCATACCACATCTTCTTTTTTATATAAGAGCTAAAAGGGTTAAGTTGTTGATACTTCTGTTTAAACAGACTAGGAGCAAAAGTATTTAACTTTTTATCGTACAATATATAAAGGTATTTAGAAATTAACATATCTAAATAATTACACTACTTCAATATTTCATAAAGATTGCATCATGTTCATTGGTAGACAACAATCACATGCTGTTTTAAAATGATGTTTCATATCCAAATAAAATGCAATATTCAATGACAAAATTACAACAATGTGAGGGAATATTTTATTAAAACATATAAAAGGCCTTAAAAGTAATAACACTGCAAACCAACTTATTTTTTTGCCAGCGACATTTGTGAGTAGAAAAATAATGTAGATATTTATATTTGAAAATATGTAAAACTTTTAACTTCCCTTATATAAAATTAATGCATCAAGCAAATCAGAAAATCTAGACACAAAATCTCAATGAAAGTCAGCTAGAAAGGGCATAATTAAAGTGATATAAACTGTACACAAAAATAAGCAAATTTTACATTAGCCTGTTTTTAACATTATAAAAGAACAGAGTGCTAATGTCCCCTGCATCACACATATTTTATCTATCCAAGGGCAATATAATTATGAAACAAATTAATTTTTTTTCATATCTTAAGAAAAATGAAGGCTTGTGAGCAAATACAATGCAATTTCCAATATAAGTAATATCTAAAAGGGGCATGACTCTTTTAAAAATATTTCAACAGTTCTGATTTTCAAACGTTACATAAATTGACAAAAAATGTACACATTAGAGCGCTAACAATGCAATTTTCCATATAATTTATATTTCAAATAGGCATAAATCTTTTAAAAAAAAATGATCAGCACTGATTTTCAAACTTGTCCGAGACATTGTTGATATAAACCTATGATATAGGTTTCATAAAAATCTGGCATGAATTGTACACATTTGTTGCATCAAAGGCCTTTTCTAGTTTCATCTGGAACACTTGGTAAAAAATTTTGAATCCCAAAGATATATAAACACATTGGAGGGGCCTAGCATTAATGTGAACCTTTATTGGGATACTTTATGATCTTTATGTAACATAGCAATAAATAAGAGCAAAGAATATATGTCACCTGTTGATGACCTGTCTACAGTAGATAGGTACTTTTCCAAAGTCTGCATACAAGCATTATTCCTAGTAGATGAGAAATTATATGCTGTGGATTCATTTATTTTCATGGTTACATGTACAAATTTTTGTTGATTGGGAAAAATTTGCATTTTTGTGGATATTAGATTTTTAGTGTTTTTTCCAAAGTCTGCATACAAGCATTAAGTAAATGTGTACTTCATTGAACATTTTAATTCATGGTAAACCTTTATCCACCAAATCTAAGAAAATTGGTATCCCAGAAATAATAATTAATCCACTGTAATAATATTTTATCTGCTGATGTTCTGTCTATAGTAAACAGATACTAAACCTGTTATTTTGAGTTAATATAAAACTACAAAGTATTTTATCTGCTGATGGCCTGTCCACAGTAGACAGGTACATACCTATTTTCTTTAGTAAATGTAGGACTAGATAATATTTCATCTGACGATGGCCTGTCCACACTAGATAGGTACCTACCTATTTTCTTTCGTAAATATCGGACTAGATAACTTTTCATCTGACGATGGCCTGTCCAAACTAGACTGGTATTTACCTGTTTTCTTTCGTAAATATAGAACTAGATAATATTTCATCTGACGATGGTCTGTCTTTTGATTTTTTCTGTAAAGTAGACTTGATTAGATCTTTGATTTCCTGAGAATACTGTGGGTTAATGTCCTCATAATCACCTTTCACTATCTCGTAAGCTAAACGTAGTTGATTCTGTTAAAAAAAAAATGTAATAGATTCTGTTATGATACAAAAAACATAGTTGATTCTGTAATGATAAAAAAAACATTGCTGATTCTGTAATGATAAAAAAAACATAGTTGATTCTGTTTTGATGAAAAAAACATAGTTGATTCTATTGTGATAAAAAAAATACTTGGTAAAACTAGATATGGACAATGCCCCCCCCCCCCCCCCCCTTTTCTGCTCTGCATATGCATGAGTATAGTTCCACATATTTTAGATTTGACAAACAGTGATGTTGGCATAAAACTTGAAATTGTTACGCTGTCTGTAAAACACAAATGATGACCCCGCCTGATCATAGGAAATTATAAATTTAACACTATGTATGATGATGTAACTGTAGGAGGAGATAGCCGGACAAACCATGATCTCTTTATGCAGCCACTACCAAAAAATGAGTATGTCCAACTACCTGTCATTTTCAGAATATTTAAAAAAAAAAAAAAAAATCCTGTGGCCATGCACACCTCCATTATGTGTTTGAACATTCTACAAAATATTAAAGCTGTATCTGCAAAACTGTAGGAGGAGATAGCCAGACAAACCATGATCTCTTTATGCAGCCACTACCAAAAAATGAGTATGTCCAACTACCTGTCATTTTCAGAATATTTAAAAAAAAAAAAAAAAAAATCCTGTGGCCATGCACACCTCCATTATGTGTTTGAACATTCTACAAAATATTAAAGCTGTATCTGCAAAACTGTAGGAGGAGATAGCCAGACAAAAATGGATCTCTTTATGCAGCCACTACCAAAAAATGTGTATGTCCAACTACCTGTCATTTTCAGAATATTTGAAAAAAAAAATCCTCTGACCATGGACATCTTCATTATGTGTATGAACATTCTACAAAATATTAAAGCTGTACCTCCAAAACTGTAGGAGGAGATAGCTGGACAAACAATGTATCCTAATCTGGACGGACAGATGAACAGATGGAGGAATGGACAGACGAACGGACAAACGGACATGGGTAAATCAAAACTATAAATTTTGTGTTTAAGAAACTGTTTATTTTATTTACCTTCAACTGAATTGCTAAAAAAAACATTTGAAAGTCTGGGATGTCCAAAAATTTAGAAACAATTTGAGCTATATAACCAAAAGGGACATAAAAAGAAAAGCCAAATTTAGATTAGCTCAACTTTGCAAGAGGGAGTTGGAATATTAGTTTCTTTTTAATTTCATACTTTATCAATGTCTCTGTAAAATTTATTCACTACTATTTTAGACTTGAGGAAATAAGATATATTGTGTCTACCAGTACATCTGTCTCTTTTCATATAAAGACAGTATGTTGACCTCAAGAAGTGTTTTTTTGTGTCACTGCCTTGCTGTCTCATTGATGTTTACCTCACATCTTCTTTTGTTCATTTCTTATTTCAATGTGTCAAAGAGCTGATGACAGATGCATGTCAAAACTGTAATAATTATATCTTTTTATGTAATATGATAAAAACTGAATAGTTATTACAATTTGTGTTGAATTATTTGTAAAATGTTTCATTGAAATAAAACATGTTTAATCAAAATAAAAAGTCATTTTCATAATTAGAAGTACTTACAGTTGCTTGGAAGACTCTTTTAAATGTTAGAAGTTCATATAATACACAACCAAGGGCCCATATATCTGTTTTATGGTCATATCTATTCAAATAAAATAAAATATATCAATGGCTTTATAATAAAACACCACTTTAAATCATGCATCACTATTTTTGTCACATTGATGAAAATTTTCTATGGATTCATCAATATTCGTGGGATATCAATTTTCATGGATATCATTGGCAAGGGTAATCCATGAGTTTAAATACATGCACTTCACAAAATACAAATAATAGCTGCTTTGCTAAGAGCAAATGATGAAAGGACGAAATTAAGAACTAGTATTTTTTTTCTTGAACAAACTAAAAAAGTTGTGATGTTTTTTAATTTACAAGTAAGATCTGTTTTTGAAAACAGTCATAATCAATCACAGAAAATATAAAAACAACTCAATTGGTGAAAATAGCTGAAAATTGTGTGGTTTTTGTCAAAGAGGGAGATTATGACCTTCCTTGCAGGTGACAGGTCCAAAGAGGGGGATTTAAATTTTTTTGAGGAAAGAGGAAAGTATGATCATGCAATGTATACATATCTTATAATACACAGCTGATTTGTATTTAGCTTCCTTCTACATACAAAAGATACTGTTTGCCTTGTTTTGCTTTCTTTTATATGGCATTTTTGCTTGCTATTACTGAAGTTTTGTTAAGCTTTTTGCTATTTACTTAGTGCTATGTTTTTTTTCTTCTATTTTTGATAGCCTAATTCATATGCTATGCTTTTTTGGAGGCTTTTTTTCTATGATATTATTTGTGATCTTGTTTGATTGCTTTTTATTATGCTGCATGTGTTTATGTTTTGCTTGTACGTAAATATGCCGATGGTCTATATAGTTAGTTGTGAGAGCTCCTAACGGCTCATGTTACTTTATGTTTTATATATATGCGCTTACTCTAAATAAAATTTACATTTTTGCTTATATCTTCAATACCAAACATCGATTTATGAATACAATTTGACTTACTTACTTAGGGCATCTTAACTATATTGTTTAACGGGTTATAACATATAATGCAATTGAAGGAAATCCCAACAAAAATAAAAAGGTGGTATTCCCTGAGAAATGGCACCAGGTTAGGTTTAAAATCAAATAACCCACATATTTTACAGGAAATTTGGAGCATCATCACAAGTTCTTGATTTTAAGGATGTTCGCTACTCTTGTTTTTGACTTTTTGTCAGATATGCTGAATCCTCTTAGTTTTATCAATGAAGTGCCAATAAAATTTTGCTCAATAACACCTACTTCTATTAGGTATAGTTTAAAAAGCCATTTTGGAAAATCTTATAAAATCCTTGTTTATATTTTTTCATAGTTTTTGAAGGAAGAAAGGTGTCAATGTTAAATATATGAAAAATCTAGAGAGCATCATTTCCAGCCAAATTTTCAATAGATTATATTTCAAAAACAAGGACACAGACCTTTCATATTTTCCAGCTTTTTTAGTTCCGTCATTTATATACTATCAATTTATAACAGTCTTTTAAAGGAAATTTGTTTTGAACAGAGGAACAAGCATGAATAGGCCAATTTAGTGGAAACTTTAGTTTTCTGTTTAGTATTTTGTGCACTTTTTTTTGCCTTTTCATCTTTTTTCTTTGGGTCATTGAATTGTCTGCTTCTTTGACATTATTTTTGTTTTTTTTTAATTAAACCTCAGCTTTGCTAGTAAAATTTTCAGTCAATCCTTAAATTTATTTCCATTTGTCAACAGCACTTACTTTTCACCTTGTATAATCTCTGGTGACATATAATATGGTGTCCCAACAACCTAAAAATAAATTAAATATGTTTGAATTAGGTAGAAATATTATTTTTTTTATCAAAACTGAATTTTCAAACTTTACATAAACACTCAATCCCTGATACTACATATAAAACTATTTAACCACTTCCTATTGAAATTTGAATCTTGACATGACTTTCAAGCCATAAAAACAGTACACTATTGAATTGGTTCCAAATTAAAAAATTGGAATACAAATTTGACTCAGGTAATTTATTGGTAACAGCTTTAACAAGTCCACCATAGCTCCTAATGTGCTGATTATCTTTTGGTAATTGAAACACTCCTGGCTTTAAACTCTCATAAAAACTTATTATAACAAAAAAGATTACATGTGATAATTTCCTATCTCTTTTTTTCTAGACTACTCCTGTGTATCTGTATAGAATATTTACAAAAAATTAAAACAAATGATTATCTTACGCTGTCAGCCATCTTGGATTCTGTTTCTAAAACCTTTGATATTCCAAAATCTCCAAGCTTCAACAAGCTAGATTTACTCATAAATATATTTAATGTCTTCACATCTCTGCAAAAATGAACATATTTGATTTGGTTAAATCAATATGAGAAATTAAAGAACCTTTGTGAGCACGCTCACATACCACACGCCCCCCCCCCCCCCCCCCCCCCCACAAGTTCAAAGGGGCATAACGCCATGAAAAAAAAATAGAATCATAAATTTCCGTCAATATGCACATCTACATAGTATGTCCTTATTATCTACAAAGTTTCAGGAAACTGTGTAGTGTGGTTTCAGAGGAGCTGTGATGACGAGAACATGACTGACAGATCAAAAACAATATACCCTAAGGAACTTTGTTCCATGGGGTATAATATTGGATAGTTATTGTTTCAATGTGGAGATCGAAATAGTGGTATCACATGACATTTTTCTATGCACTTGCCTAGTTTTTTAAACAGGCAAATTAAGCAAATGCAATAATCTAAATAGATTTCCATTTAAAAAATTCGACCACAATGTTCTAGTATAATCCCCACACCCTGATAAAAACCTACTGTAAGGTTACATCGCCCATATGTTGAGGTTTTCATGCAGACGATGATGTATTAATCAAAACACTGCATAGATTTCTGGGGTTTTCATGTGACATTTGTGTGTAAAATGAAATCAGACACGGTAAAACAGAATATCTTGGAACTAAAGTATCACCAAATTGTGTTGATTAAAATCAAGACTTAACCCCACCATGTGCTTCTGTTCTTGTCGAAATTCAGAAATTGCATTAGTGATTGTCTTTCAAATTACATTAAGTGTTTTAAGTCCTCTCAATAAAATAATGTTTAAGGAAGATATCAAGTAGTTTCCTTTGATATTGCCCACAACTTGTCTAGATTTTAGGTGATTTAAACCTTGACATGTATGCATAGACACATGCCTACTGTTGAAGACAGTATTTTGACCTCTATGTATCTTTTGAATTTTTGAACCCAGCATCGTATCTAAATCATTTCACTTTTCTTTACTGTGTGTGTTCCTTATTAGATCTGTTTCAGATTTTGCATTTGTTTAAAAATTTCTATATCAAGAAAGAACATTCCACTTTTTATGTATAAATGAAATGCTTGTTTTAAAAAAGGAATTTATTCCAGTCCAGTCCTGCAATTTAGATTTGGGACTTTCAATCAGTAGCTTAATTCATGAAGAAAACCAGACACTTGTAGATATCTATGGTATCTGCATGTTAAAAAACCTAATTGGAAAAATTTCTCTAGAATGGGTCTATCTAGTAGCTAGTGGGGAATTCTAACACTTCACACCAATTGCATGATTTCTACTGGCAGTTCTTCATACATCTGTCCAGTTCAACTATGTATAGAACCTTTCAAATGATTAATTTTTAATAAATTTAATAACTTTTTTTTGTGGAGGGTATGTAATACTTCGTTGCCTTATTAGCATCCAAAAAAATATTAATTGTAAATCAATACATCTTTTTTGTGCAAAAAAGAGATTGTAAAAAAAAAAATGATTTAAAGTGAATTAAGTACAAGAATGTCTTTACAGTTTACCATTTTCATTTTTATAAAATTCTTTTTAGAAAACTTTTGCAAATAATTTGATTTGGCTTCGCCCATTGTGTAATAATGTCTAATTATATCAATAAATTGAAATTTCTTTTATATCACAAAAATAAATATTAACAAACTTCTTTTAATTGTGAATTCATAAATAAATGTTACCAACACAACTTTTAGCAAAGCCTAATTCTACTGCTACAATAAGAGATGCCTGAATTATCTAATTATGATTATTTGCTACCAAATTAAGAGCTTTTTTTATCTAAACCATAATGCATCCATTAGCAGTTTGATATACCTGTGAATAATGTCATAGCCATGTATATGTGATAAAGCAGAAGCTAACTGGAACAAGTACCATCGTACAACCTGAAAATAAGAAAAACAGAGTTATCTTTAAATATTGTTTTTATTGGTATAAATATATACATATGAAATGCACATTCACAGTTCTACAATCTGCCAATACTTGAATACTTGTATTTTGGCATTGCACAAGGTCATGTTTTTCTCCGACTGTTTATGACGTCTTTACACTAAATCCATTGGATGTTGGATGTGAGCTGATTGATACTTTAGTCTAAGATACTTGATTTTTTTTATTAGTTGAAATTGGCTTTAAACTATCTGCCAGTTACTGTGAGTACTCTCAGATCTGTACTTAGTCTTTTTGTTGTTGTTGTTGTAGGGATGTATTATATACCCTGCAACTTCCAGTCTATTACTTGTTTTTATGCTTTGTATCAATCAAATTAATTAAGCCTTTTTCAACTGATTTTTATAGTTTGTTCATATGTTGTACTGTTTCACCACTATCCTTTGTTAGGGGAGGGTTGGGTGCCCGCTAACATGTTTAACATCTCCACACTGTGTGTGTGTCTGTCCCAAGTCAAGAGTCTGTAATTCAGTGTTTGTCCTTCGTTGCTGAATATCAAATTTGTATTTCGTTCATTGTTTTTTTACATAAATCAGGACGTTTGTTTTCTTGTTTAACATTTTTTATTTCAGGGCCTTTATACCTGACTATGCGGTATTGGTTTTGCTCATATTTGAAGGCCAAACGGTGACCTTTAGTTGTTAACTTCTATGTTATTTGTCCTCTGGTGGAGAGTTGTCTCATTTAATTTGCAATAATACCACATCTTCTGATTTTTATATTACCTACCATGTTTTTGAAACTTTGCAATAAACTAAAACTTTCAGTATAAAAAAAGTTTAAAAATGGTTGATGACTCAATATAAAAGATAAAAAAATATAAAAATCTTGAGGAATTTTCATATTAAATTAAGAAATAAGATAATAATTATTATACATGTAATTTCCACTAAAATATCAAAAAAGCTCTGCAATAAATATCATTCATGAACAAAGCAAGCCATGCTGTACTTCTTCTATATATTCTAATTAAGGCCAAACCCGTGTTTCTCTTAATAATAAACTCCAGAACTAAGCTAGAGAGTGCCCAGCTGTAGAAAACTGCATCCAGGCCCCAGTCCTCCCTAAACACTGTGATGTCATGGGAAAGAGCTGAAGGTGGTCAGGTGTTTGCCTTGTGCTGGATTTTAGTGGTGTGATTTTATAGTTCTACAACATTTGGTCTAGAAAGTTAAAGAGGGGAGATTTGTACCTACAAAAAAACTAGTTTTTCCCCAACCTGTACCAAGTCATGCTATCTGGACCATGTGTTTGTTGCTGTTGTCTGCCTTTTGTTTAGCACTTTTGGTTTTGAAAGCAGTTGGGTGACAGTGTGTTGGTTGTTGATGGGGCCTGTTGTACTGTGCAGTATATTTGGGGATCCCTGATATCTAGGCTTTTTATATTTCAATTTTTCAATACCTCTTCAGAAAACAGTTCTGTTTGCTCAGCAATTTTGTGGTACAATGATCCTCCTGAAATGTAAAAATTGTCTCGTGTTAAAAGCAGACTTACTAAAATATATGCTACAACTTTCCTATCTTGACTGGTAAAAATTGAAAAATTCCTTTCCTATAGTTGGTCATTCAAAAAATCATTTCAAGGTCTTCAGAAAGTATGTTAAACTCTATTTTGTAAATATTTAGCAGGCTATAAAGTTGAAAATTGTCAGTCTCTTAAAATTCTAAGCTAGGAAATTTAAACTTCAGCTTAATTTTTAAAAACTCTTCATTTTTGTGGGATTCATTTGGGAATTTTTAAATTTTGTATTCCCTTTTATTATTTTAAACCATATGAATACATTTCTCCCCGAAAAATATTTTATAGGATATCAATTTTGCCAAAAATTAACTTTTAAACATACAACCCATCTTTATTTTTTTCAGAATTTCAGTACATCTTACATTATCTTTTGAAAAAGATGTTGTTATTTTAAATTGGTGAATGATACATGTAATAAATATCTCAATATAATCAAGCTCAAGATTAAGTAATATAACATACCATTGGCATATTCCATTTCTATGAGTAAAGTTTCCCCATCCAGGAAATGGTTGTAGTATGTAATGATGTTAGCATGATTAAGTAATGATAATATATCCACTTCACTGAGGGCATCTCTTCTCTCTTTTTCATGCAGCCTGGCTAGATTTACTTCCTTCCATACCACTAAACTTTTATCCTACAATAAAATATTAATTCTTAGAATCCTAACTATCTAAGGTAAGAACAATTGTGTTACTTATTCTTTGAGCTCAAAGTGAGTGCGGCACTGAAGTTTAAATTTGTACCTTGGGTTTTTGGATTTTTTTTTAAAGGTTTTTTGTGCTTTGTACCAAACTGATCAATTAAGCCCTTTCCTTATTATTATACTCTTTGTTTTTATCTTATGAAGTGTTCACAAGTTATATGCATATACCGGGTATATATATTTGAAATCACTTGTAAATAAAAAATGTCTAACATAGCAACGATTGAAAAAAAAGAAGGGCCATGGTGGCCGAATGGTTAAGTATAGTCAAACTACTTTATTATTAGTCTGTCAACACTGACAATGACTGAGGTTATGAGTTCCAAACCTACACATGGCAGGTGCACTTGACTCAAACCTTTATTGACTAGCTAGGATTTTCAGTTTTCCTGACAAAGGTTATGGTTCTCCCAGGCACTCTATGGCCAGCTTCCTCTATTAAAAAAAATTAGCCGCAACCAAATAGCCTATAGTGCAGAAATCAATCAATTAATTATCTAAAAAAGATAATGTTTTAAAATAATCAATTATTCTAAATTTCTATGTTTTAAAATAATCAATTACTGTAAATTTCTATGTTTTAAAATAACCAATTATTCTAAATTTCTACATTCTTAAGTTTATTCTGTAAGTTTCAACTGGGTAATTTCTTTATTCTTTAACTTTGTTAAGCCATTTTTCTCAATTCTTTATGGACACTTAGTATAATCAGATGATTGAAGGATTAGCTCCTCAACTTTTCTTATATTCAGAATAATGGCAAATTTTTATACCTGGTTCTCTTAATTGAAAATGACACAAATTTATAGAAAATGGAACAACTTCTTTCAAAGAACCATATTTTTAATTTTGGTTTTTATTGCGAACAAAATGAAACTTTTCCACAGTTTCACAGAATCCGATTGGTCAATCTTTTTAAACTTTTGTTAGTTCTACTGTCCCATTGAATAAATACAATAGCTATATATTGTTCTCTGTGTAGTTTTTTTTTCGCTGAGACCTTTAAGTTTCTTCTGAGAGAAATCTATCACTCATTGATTAATTTACCATAGTAAAAAAAATATCTTATAAATTGATGAAAATACATGTTTTAACTAAAAAACTGCATGTGATGTATTTATCAAATATCATTAATATATTTTCAATCTGTTCAATATAAACACTGATAAAAAGTTGATTTCTGACAAAAGGAAGGGTCAAAGCAAAAAAATAAGATAGCCTTTCAAGACTTTATAAGTATTTGGAATATTCCTCATGTAGAAAATGGGGATGGAAACATGCATACGATTTCCCATACTATCATACTATTTCCACCTCTATCCAAAAAATCTGCCCCCTATTCAATCAAGTGTAATAACTGTGAAATGACTTATTATATGCCGAATTATAGTTATCTCGTACCATTGCAAACTCGTACAAAGGTAAACTCGTACCACTAAAAACAAACTCGTACCACTGCAAACTCGTACCACTGCTAACTCGTACCATTGCAAACTCGTACCAACTTATTTAAATGCATCCAAAAAGTGTTAAATGATGAATAAATATTTAAATTTCACTCAATACCTCATTAGTCTGTAAAAAGTATATAATTTGAAATGGATAAGAAATCACAATGACCAATTTGTAGCTGATTTTTCCTTGGCTAATTGGATAAAGAAAGCTGTAGCAGATTGGCTTTGTTGTCTCCCTTGAACTGTTCAACAATTCCATTTTTTTTAACTTTTACTGACAACTATTTGATTAAATTTTTAATCATTACAAATTAGAAACATTGAATAGATTTTGTATTTATAATTGTTTGTAAAAGGAAATTTATCTATCAAGAGAATTTATTTATCTTGTTTTAAAAAGTTTAAAATTTATTTATATACAATATTCAGCTCTTTGAAGTATGAAATTTATTTATATACAATATTCAGCTCTTTGAAGTATGAAATTTATTTATATACAATATTCAGCTCTTTGAAGTATGAAATTTATTTATATACAATATTCAGCTCTTTGAAGTATGAAAATTATATGTATACATGTACAAAATTCAGCTCTTTGATGAGTCTCCGATCCAATCCATCATCAGTCACGTCTCAGCCATTACAGCTGAACAGACGTGCTTGGTCAGCTCCTCTTTATCCGCTATCTACGATGTTGGTTTACTGATGGATGGCTCAACAACTTACTACTTTCGATGACAGAAACCAATCCAACGCTGTACAGTCTACATTTTGCTTGGTGTAAAAAAAACCATTAGCATACACTCCAATCGTATTATGGATGTGGGAGTGTTAAATGCCGACTGACGTCAGAGGGTCTGTATCCTAGGTGTTAGATAATGGACCGCCATTTCACTGTCTCAAGACTTTGGTCCTGATAATGCTTCCTGTCATCTTAATACTATGTCCAAGACTCATTGACCAGTACTTCATCATCGTGGTTAGCGGGCTGCACAGCTGGGTCAGTATGCGTAATTGATTTCCCATAGGAGGTAATGGTAACATTTCTTCTGTAGCTCAGTCCATATCGTAAACTTGGATATGCATGATTGCTCGTTTCAAAGCTGAGACATTTTCACATATGTGGTTAAATTTTCTGGGTACGAAGTAAGATTCATTTTTCTGTAAATTAGCACACCCCGAAAATCCTTTCGTGATGCGGCTCCTTGTGGTAAAAAATACTTTTTTTCACACAATTAGTTCTTTGAAAATTTAATACTTTGTATACATTTAATAACTCCAAAGTTTTTACACATTTATTCTATGGTCCTCTTCGATTTCTTTCCAAATCAACACAAATGGTTAAGCTCAGTCACTTGTTAAAAATAGAAACATGTCCAATATCACTACACAGAGACTTTTTGTTTATGCCCAACTTTTGTGTTTCTCAATTTGAGGCGCATTAGGGATATTGACCCAGCTGACCAACCTGGCCCTGAAAGCAGCCGTTGTGAAGGCAGTAAACTACACCAAAAAAGTCAACAAACCAAACCATTGTACCAAAACCAAAATGGCAGCCGTTCTTTCCAAATTTTTCATCATTACGTCAACGAATTATTTAAAGCTCACAAAACGTCTTCGGGCAACGAGCCGACCGTGGGAGGGCTGAATACCAGCCAGTCAAGGTTGTTAAAAACCACCAGTTAGATGAGACTCCCCCATTCATGAACCTCATGGGTACAGAAGGTCTATCTATATAAGCCTTCCTAATCTTGTAGATAAGCAAAGTCGGAAAATTTATAACACCTATCATAATTTAAAATTGGATTAAACAAGTTGATTAGTTCACTACAGATATAATCAAACAATAATCACACAATCAAAGGAATTCAATTTATCGATCAATTAACATGGTAATTAAGAAATTAATTATTTTTTTTTATAAAGATATGCAAAAACAATTCATAAAACATTTGAATTTTGTCTAAGTTTTCAATAAATTTTTGTATAAGATTAAGGAAAACCTGAGACTACTATAACACAGAGATTGGTCACTTCCCGTACTGACCAGTCAAATAGTAATTAATTGTAAGTCTTCGATCACGTGACTCGGCACGTGACTCGCAATGATTGACAAGAAGGATTCGACCGCCATTTTTGACAGCGAAAGAGAAAATAATAATTAACAAATGTGGATTTATAAAGAGTGTTATGTTCCGGTAAGTGTGAATATAAGATTTGACATGTTCATAAATGTTGGTTTATAAGCACTTTAAATAAAATAAGTGCAGTTATAGACTTGAATTTACCGACCAAACCGGAAAGTAACCTCGAGTTATTACCAGTCCGTGGGACAGGGTCAATGAGCAACTCACCCATAACTTACATTCAGATGAACAATCTGTTTTCCGGATAATGTATGTGCAAGCCTTAGTAATTAACCGATGTAATGATGTAAAATTTGTAATTATATGAAATTCCAATTTTTCTGTATCAGTAAGTTCCCGCTGCAGAACTGAGAAACACACGAGACAAGTTGCACACACACAACATGAGGTATGATAGGTGAATTTGTATTGTTAGTGAAAGAAATTTAGATTTATATTTGGTTCCCTTGATAATATATATGCAGTCTATACATGCTAGTATAATAATATTATGCAATGAAAATGCGTCACCATGTGAAATACCAGTACATCATGAGTTCCTAAATAGACGTTTTTTTTTTTAAATAATTGACCCAAACATGATGTAAAAATTACATGCACCTTTGGTCTGCATCCTTTATCAGTTTAACTATTTTGATCCATATTGACATGATAGGTCAATTACTGCTGAGTCTCAAGTCTCAGATTACTGTCTTAAAAATTAATGAATTGCCTATGCTATAAACTTGACAAACATTATTTCTTTTTATTTATAATATATTCTTTATTGTAGGAATACCCCCCAGAAAGAAATCACGCATTAGAAGAAGGGAGAAGTACTACAGGAGAAAATGACTTTTTTTAATATTTTTTTTAATTTCATTGAATTTGTCATGCTTGTCTTACATGGAGAAATAAATATTTAAGTCTTTGAATATACATTTTTATTATTATATACATTAAAACTAAGACAGGAATGCAGAAATTCACTACATTGTGTAACACGCTCAGTTTGGATAACAGCTCAATGAAAGAAAAAAAACAAGTAACCGCACATCTTTATATATTAAAGGAATAGCCACTTGAAGCAAACTTTAATGAGATTTTTATATATTTTTGCTAATGATCATCAGACAACTCCTTTAGTCCAAATGAAGTTCAATGAAGTGGATGTAAGTTATTCGAATGCACCGTAATTACCTTCAACAATGAGAAAACCTATAACGTGCAGTCAGCTTCAAAAGTCCCCGACATGGAAAATATATAACAATTCACTAGAGAAAACGAAGTGTCTACAATAACAAAGCAATTTACGAAAATTCAAATATGACGGACATGAACCAACAGCAACCACTGAATTACAGGCTCCTGACTTGAGACGGGCACTTAAAGAATGACAATGTTAAATATTTTTAGGCGCTCATCACCACCACTAGCATGGGACATTGGTGTAACGACATAACATAAAAACAAACTTTAAACATAATTTGAAAATAGTTCATTTCGGTTTAATCAGGCTGACTGTACATGAAATATTTGCCACTGACAAGCAGTTGTGAATCGAAGTTGAATTTACAGAAAGGTGATATCAATATATGCTATCATATTTAACATTCTTGTTTAGATCTGACATTGCTACTTATTTATAAATTTCACATTATTTTTGGCTTCTCAGAATTTTCACATGGTAAACTGTTAGCAGTTACCCAACAAAAAAATGTTATAGGAAACCTTTTTACAAAGCATCATGCAGACAACAATTAACATGGTATGTCACCAAACATTGAACAAGCACATTTATATTTGCTGTGGCTAAAAAAACTAAAGCAAATCACAACTCTTTTCATCTGAGTTGCTCAATTATTAGGGTTACAAAAAGCCTAGCGATATAACTAAAACATACGACACTTTAACAATAGACAATATTCAAATTTTCAAAAACTTTACGGCTCTGTATTGAAGCACAAAATTTCTTGTCTGGGATTTTGAAAGAGGGCACATATTTCTGGTGTTGAAAAAATGTCATCGTAAATTACCCTAATGTGGTTCTATTTATGTTAACATAGAAATAATTTGATTATTCAGTCACATAATTTTGAAGCTTCTTCGTTCTGATTTACATGTACTTGCGGTTGATGCTTCTTTAGGAGTTTTTGCAGCAGGGACGTATAGTCATCCTCAGATTCAAAATCTGATGCAGTATATTCACCACGTAAAAGATCAAGATTGAGATCACTATCATCCCAAGATAAAAAATCAATGTTACTGGACATTGTGAATTGAAAAATGAAAATGCCAGCGATATTTTGGGAACATATATATAATTTGTAGGGCTTATGTTTGCTTTATGTATCCATTGCAGTTATAACCTCTTTGCTGATCTGTTACGTAAGGAAATTACTCATTTACCTTTAATGAAATTTTTTCTCTCTTCTGTGATCGCCGCTTATTACATTGTTTGCAAAAACTTGACCTAATTATCAGACGAAAATTTAAAAAAAGTGGGAGGGGGGGTTGAAACTTGTTTGAAAAAAAAAAATTTACGTTGGATAATCTGAATGGGGGTTCTTTATTTCCTATAATTTCTATGCCATTTTTCTCTATTCTTTAAATCTTAATAACTTATTATTTTCTCTTCTCTATTCTTTGTCGGTCCATTTTTCTCCATTCTATACCTTTTTTGCCCCTATTTCTCCATTCTATAAAACCCCATCCACACCCTCCTGAATCCTACCACAAGTGCACCGACGATATTTGACAAGGTTTACTACAATAAACATGTATATTGGGCACTCAGCAGTGAAATACCTTACAAGTATAGAATAAAAGTTTACTGCAATAAACGGAGCCTCGTGTACCTTGGGCACCCAGCTGTGAAACAAAATTCATCTCCCATGCTTTTGAGACTACCTGTCTTTACAGGTAAAATATTTGTATATTAGATACAATTAACGGACGTGTAGCAAAACAATGTAACTGTAAGATTGATAAGATTATTCACATTTTCAAGAGTGGCCGCATAATAACAAACTATTAACAAATTATTAATGATTAAAAACAAAAATTTAAATATGAATAGAGATAACTGCATTTGAAAGATAAAAACTATATTCTTTTTTTTTTTTTGATTAATTCAATTTTGTTTTTAAATTATTTTTAAAAGAAAAATAATAATATCCGATACTGTTATAGTATTCTCAGTATTAGGTGATATATGTCGTCTGCTACGGTCGAATACGAAACTACGTTAAAATAACGTAGCTAACTACCGGAGACTCAGATAATCCGATAAATCTATAGTGACCAATCTCTGTGTTATAGTAGTCTCAGGGAAAACCAATTAATATTTTACAAAGATTTTCATAATCAATGCATAAATTTTTTAATGTGGTGCGAGTTCGCAATGGTATGACTTCGCAGTGGTACAAGTTGATGTTTAGTGGTACGAGTTGATGTGGTACGAGTTAACTTGCTTCCTTATATGCCTGTGTACATAGTTTTAATCATAATTTTAAAAACTATGCACTCCATATTCATTTTCAATCATTTTTGTATTTTTGAAAATATATATACATATATAGGCCACGCTGCACAAAACAGTAATTAATCTTCAGACCATTGAAGGACTACTGTAACCCTAATTAAAGAAGAAGAAAAAGAACTAGTGAGACCAGAAAATCCCTATAGACTAAGAATCCAACTACTGCATGGCCATGTACTACAATGATGATGATGTACAAAATGTATGCTATGATTCTTTATTGTTAATGTTATTACTACATAGGATAGTGATCGGAATGGGGTTCATGCTACTAGAATTTTTTTTAGGGGAGGAGTCGTTATGTGGTTCAGAGGAGTGGTGTGGTGGTTGTCAACAACTTTTTTTTTCGCAAAATTTGGTCCGACCCCCTCGGCTGATACATGCAACTAATTACTGTTTCCTAAAGAATGCATAAAATATACTTCGGTTTTCCTGTACAGATTTGCTTCGCCAAAGGCACCACGTCCAAGAACTTTCACATAGATATATGAGGCTTCTAATGCACCTTCTTGACTTCTTATTTCAGTATCGACTTCTTGGCCGTCGGTCGCCATTGTAAACAATCTAAGGGAGACCACTCGATTTATTTTTTACCACAAAACAACACATAACCACAAAACACAGGGAAGGTCTAAAATTAGTTGCAACTGAAGATTACCGATGTCTAAATCTCATAAATCAATCAAGAAAATACAAATCAAGGAAAATTGTTGACTTCTCAAATGCCTCCGACATCAACAGCTATTAGCCAAATATATAGAAAAACTATAGAATCTCAAGGTATCAGGGGAAACGTTTCACAACCATAGACAACAATATGGAACTTTGAAGCTCCTCGCAGATATTGTAAACTTGTATGTTTTCCTCCTAACGACCTAAGGTATGTTAAACAAAAGTTCTTCTGGAATCTTTGTTATAAAAAATAATATCTGAACCATTGTTTCACCAGGAACATATTTCTTTCAGTGGAAATAATATTCCAGAATAAAATTATATTTCTTCCATTTGAAACTAATATTATAAAGGAACTTCTATTCCATGACAATAGATCACAGCAAGTTATCGTTGATGGAGCCACGTCTTACAGAGCACCAGTATTCAGTTGAGTATAACAAGGGACAGTTCTTGGTCCACTGTTATTCCTGATATTCATCAATAACCTGCCAGAACTTGTGTTTCTTCAAAAACTATAGACAATTTGCAGACAGTTTTGTTCATAGACGATAAAAGACCACAAATATTTTGAAGGACTCCAGACAAACAGAAGACCACACCGACTGTGATTGGATTAAACTAGCCGCACGGGAAGCCTGAAAAAGCGGGTATGTCATTCCATCCAACCAAGTGCAATGTTTTACTATAGAGCAATGAAAAAAACTTAATTAGAAGCAACAGAAACGACCAAGTATACATATACATATACCTAGGAGTTAATTGACATGAGCCAAAATATGTGTAATAACTATCATATAAACCGTAATCTCAAAAAGATACTAGCAGTATGATTGGATTTTAAACTGTTAGGAACCTCAAAATCAACCCACACAAAGAGACGAAATCTGTAGCCTAGGCTCCTTTCGTTAGTTCATCCAAAATTGGAGTATTGTGCATCTGTGTGGAATCCATACAATAACCAGTATATTCAAGAACTAGACGTACACGGTAATATATGTTCAGTGACAAACAGATATAGAATCACCAGTTGTGTCACAGATATATACTAAATGACCTTAATCGGGAGACACTAGAGTAACGAAGAACAAACCCTAACTTACCTGGTTCTTCGACGCATCATGAACTACCTACACGATTACCTCACACCATCATCAAACCGGAGGCTGAGATTGATTGGTGTCAAGTTAATGCCACTTTCAACACTATTGTGCTATTTCGTGGTGGGCGCCCCCTCTTTTGTGGGAAAAATTTGGTTGATTATATAGGGAATCACTGAAGCATGACTGGAGCGGGCCTCCTCTTAGGGCAGTCAGTGGGCCCCCCTCATGAAAATTTCTGGACCCGCCACTGCCTCGCTACGGTCAGCAGCGTTATTTTATTTTATGGAATTACGCCACCTTTCAAATACTAGTATCCTGTATCCACCCATGTATCTTATTTTTAATCTTTTTCTTCTTCTCTCTTATTTACTCATATACAAACTACTTATTTTATCCTTACTAGTTCAAATCTTTATTTAACCACCCACGCAGCGCATTAGTATTTCCAAAGCATAGAAGACTATTAAGACAGTGATTTGTATCCTGTAGATGTAAAAAGTAAACGAAGAAAAGATAAAAATGTCACAATTCCAAAAGGAGTAAGACTGGGTGTGTTGATAGTGAAAGCGTCTCCTGCTATGCATATGCATCACCTGTGCCAAGTGAATCCGCTATAATTAAAAACGGCAGCTGTTGGGAAACGCGGAATGTAAAAGGACTTACTTTAAGTTATTTCAGGAATGACATAACCAGTGGACATAAATGAAGCTATATGTTAAAACTAAAACAGATTTAAAGTTTACGAAGTCATCTACACATTGTAATAAATATTATTTTGATTTTGAAATGCATGACCGGAACCGTAAAATGCCAATGTGTCAGATCAGTCAGATTTGAACTAAAATTCCAATATGAATCCAATGAGACAACTAGACCACAAAACACCAAAATGTGTGACATGGATGTAAGCAACTTTACTATAGTAACTATGGTCTACCATAAGGTTTTAAACAATGACCAATTCCATAGGGTATAGTAAGCCATAAATTAAGGCCCAGACGTGACAAAATAAAAAACAGCGCTCAACTCTCCTTTAAACTGAGACAGCGGTCAAACAACACACTCAGAACGAACGTGTAAAAGTCAGTTGGAAAGCGATTGACTCCTCAGATCGGCACCTAGCATAAAAACAGCTAAAAAATAGACAAGAGAAACAACGTACCAATCTAAGAATACTCGCAATTATACTGAAAGCTTGTTCATAGCCAGCTAATACAACTCATAAGTAAACCATGCGTTCTATATATTAATATATCAGTGACCGCTGATGGAAAGCACATATGTACTTGGGGACAGGACAATTCTTTTAGCCCTCTTTTTTTCCAAAATCCGTTTCTTTTTTTTTCTATTAATTTCAATTATTTTCGCGTTTTTCTGTATTAAATGAACTCAAATATCACGACTAGAAATAACTTGTATTTGCTATTTACTATCAATTCGAAGTTTACAAAACTTTGAATGTTTGAAATACTAAGGCTATTCTACCTCAGGAATAGATTACCTTAGCTGTATTTGGTAAAACTTTTAGGAATTTCTGGTCCTCAATGCTCTTCAACTTCGTACTTTATTTGGCTTTTTAACTTTTTTTGATTCGAGCGTCACTGATGAGTCTTTTGTAGACGAAACGCGCGTCTGGCGCAAATACAAAATTTCAATCCTGGTATCTATGACGAGTTTATTTATCAGTAATACCAGAGACAAAAGATATATGATATATTGTATAAGTCTTTTTTGTTGCAATACGAATAAAATTTAATATCAAATTACAAGACATTTTTTAAAAAGTCTGGACTTGATCTCGGACAGTATATATGATATTTCTTATCATCTTTAAACTTTAATTTAACAAATATCATCATGCAAAATGCCCAGTGTTGATACAACGTTTCAATGACTTAAACGAAGTATGGTACGAAATGTTCACATGCAGTTGGCCCGCGATGCCGATGAACATTACGAAATGGTCTTTGTTTTAGGGGACTACCATTTATTTTTTTTGGGTGGACCGTGCGTGTGTTGTATGGGGATTTTGAAAATGAATATCCTGTCCTGGTAAGAAATAAAAATAAATAACTTTGCCCGACAAGACAAGATACAAGATAAGGTTCGCCGGCGGTAGATGAAAGAGAAAGAAAAATTCCTCCTGACCCTCTTTTCCCAGTATATCAAATGGTCGTCCCCTTATGGTAAGAAATGGTAAACTTCTTGATTCTATTAAGAAATGTTTTGTGCCCAATTGCCAGAAATGGTTATGGTACGAAATTACTTGCTTCAGTTTCTAGTTTTTTGTTGCCTGTTGGATTGTCGTACCCAGCACCACTGTCCATTTTCGACAGCAATTACTTTTCATTTAGTTAGAAAATGAATCTTTTTAAAGTAACAGAAGCAGCCTGATGACGGTGGTTACTCAGTAGGAAAGGTCGTCTATTTAAGGTAGATTAACTGTATAACGCCATCTTGAATTGTAAAATAGCAGTTCATAATAGGTCTAGTTCTTTGCTTAATTCTTCAAATTTTGGGACAGATTGGCAATTAATGGGTTAGACTGTTCATTGGAATAAAGAAAAAATAAGTGATTTATTGCATTATTGAAACTGATTTATCAAATACCAAGTATTTGTGTTTGGTCAACTTACCCATTTAAGGATGTACACCTCTGAGGAGCCAAAAATTTCTAGAATTAAACTTTTTTTCTTAACCTGATTTTGGGGTCTATATGACTGTAAGAAAGTAATTCATGAAGAAACAATCATATAGTAGTGCACTTCTTTTTTTGCTACGACCATTTGAAAGTACCTAATTTTAATGATTTTCCCATTTTTCATTAATTTTTTCCGTGGGCCCATTTTTGGGCTATTATCATGAAAAAATCACAGTTTCACAATTAAACTTTTCTTCATACTTTCACTAAAGTTGAAGTGTACCAATCTGAATAAATTCAACTTAAAAAAAATTATGGGTAGGTGTTAACATTAGAAAGTTTTATAAAATTTTGTTGCAGTTTTTCGTGTCAAATTGACCATGTTGTCAATTTTGTAAATTTGGGGTTTTTCTCTATTTTTAGAACAAAAAGCATATTGTTTCAACTTCTTTGTTATAAATGATTGAAAAAATACACATCAGAGAAATTTAAAAAGAAAAAATTGATATGGGATGTACATATTTTTGGTAAAATCAGTTTTTGTACCCCTCACCAATTTTCTCACCATTTTGGCTGATGAAACTGACTGGAGCGGTTATAAAATTTGAAAATTTTGTTACTCAAAACCTACTTATTGTAAATACACAAATTTTTCATAGAGTTTAGTTTGATTATAATATTTTTTGAATTCATTGATATTTTCCACTTGTATCACATGCTTTGGAAATAATTTCAGAACGAGATTTCAACGAGACTGGAACATCAGAAGAATACATCCTTAAGGAGAGATAACTCAAATAGTAAATTTTTATAAAGGAATGATGGAGAAATTTTAAAGTTTTAATGGTAGCAAGAAAACAACGTCGGTGATACCACTTTTTATTTTTATTTTCTTAAAGCATATATATAAGAAAAAGTTTTTGGTCAGGATTCTTCTGAAAAAGCTTATAACAAATTTATGAAATATATTCAGGGCTTGGTGTAAACAGAAAGTCCAGTAACATAGCTGTGATGTCAGAGCTTGGTAGATTTCCTATTTATTTCACTATAATTTTATCAATGTTAAAATATTGTCATAGACTGGAAGGTTTGAAAGAAGGTTTATTATTTGATGCATTCATATGATGTAAACAATTACATATTTCTAATTTAAATACATGGTACTCTAGTATAGATTATATTCAGAGAGAGATTGAATTACCAAATTTTGACCAATCAATTGAATTGGTTCTTTATGTCAGTATGTTAAAAATAAACTATGTGAAAGTTATTTAACATTTTGGAATAGACTGAAGTATCAAACAATTAACTCTGAAAAAGGGAAGCTTGGTACTTATTTTTCTATAAAAAATTGTTTTAAAAAAGAAAAATATTTAGAACTACAGGATTTAAAAAAAAAGACAGTCAATTTATAAATTAAGAATAAGCGCTCACTCTTTAAAAATTGAGACAGACAGATATTTAAAAAAATATATAGAAAGATCTGAGCGTCTTTGTTCAAATTGCTCACTTGGTAATGTTGAAGATGAGCTTCATTTTTTGTTAGAATGCCCTCTTTATGATACTCAAAGGGAAGATTTTTTTTCAATACATTTCTAACAATTGTTATAATTTTAAAAATTTAAATAAATCTTCTAAATTTGTACGGCTCTTGACCCAAGAAAATGTAACTCATATGGAAAAACTGGGCTGTTATATTTGTGACTGTTTTGAATTAAGGAGATCAGGTATGAATATTGACACCAAGTCCACAGGCACTTGTCTCAGAAAAAAATTTTCCTATATACCTTAATGTTATATTAAGGTATATAGGAAAATTTTTTCTGAGACAAGTGCCTGTGACTAAGTCAAGTAAATGATTTGAGAATGAATGCATATAATGTAATTTTATTCTTTTATTCACAATATATATGTGCATGTTTTTGGCTCTGATTCTGACCAATGCTAATATACTAAATATATATTTACAAGTGACTATTATTGTTGTTGTTACCAATTATGTAAATCAATTGTATCTGATTTTATGCCCTTTGTGGGCCCTGTAATTTGGGAAATAAAAATATTCTATTCAATTCTATTTTTTAAAAAACCTATCGAAGTTCTCATATTCTAATTCAAAATTTTAACTCATAGGTTTCTTTATATTCACAAAAAAGTGAACAATCATATGAACATTTTGGCAATTTGCACGACTTATAGCTTGGAAAATAGTACGATGACCCATACTTTTTATTATATTTTTTAAAAAAAGCATGGAAAAGTCTACATTTGATAATGTAAAAGAAAATTCCATCTGAGGAAATATATACGATATACCAATGATTCACTTTAAGTAGAAGTAATTTTAATTGTTTGCGGTGCACCAAAATGGGAGGATACATACATATAATGATATACAAATCGACTTGAATGAATTGAAAGAATGAATGTCTGTCCCCATTCGTTGTTTGTCTCGTTGGGAAAAAAAACGCCCTCCACCTGCTCCGCCTACAAATCCAGTGAAAATTATGGCTTGGGCAGCAATAAAGTCAGTTTCAAGTAAGAAACTATAGTCACGATTAATGCATGGAATATACTCTATATGTCCATCATTATACCCCTGCTGCTTCATTAATACACAAGGTATTACTTAAAAACTAGTCAAGGGAAAAGAGAAATCATGATTGCATTTAACTTTTAAGTGAAAAAATTAAATAGCTTACAGGTAGAGTGTCTCAGGTACATTGTAAATGTACATGTATATGATATGTCCCAGTTAAACAATATGTGATTGTCAAATTTGATAAATGTGATAATGGCAAGATAATAAAAAATAATAAAACTAACTGAACATAATTTTTTGCTAAATAATATTTTTAGAAAGAAAATGTCTTATGACATGTCATGTATGACCTTAGTTTTTATATGTATAAAATATAGGAAAATATATGCCGTTACAACTTAATGACAGCGCCTGATGAAAAATTAAGCCTGGCTGGTTTCAGTCCTTTAATGGACCTTCTTCAGAGGCTGAATGGTTTAATTGTGTTTTTGCTCTCATTACATGTATATAATGATCCATCGACGATTGACATCCAGCGGTTCTGACGGATTAGTTTGTTTGTCTGTAACCAAGGTTATCCATTGTGTTACCCGTGGTTGGATTAACTGTCGGTTGGTTTAGCCGGCGGTAGATTTAACTGGCGGTTGGGTTAACCGGTGGATGGGTGAACCGGCGGATGAGGTTCTATTCTGGCAACAATGGATGTTACCTCATTATACACCAACATTCCAAACCAAGAGGGTTTGGTTTCAGTTGCCAAAAGCCTACATTTAAACAAATCGTCTTACCAAATATCAAACAAAGGACTACTAGAAGTACTTAAATTAGTCCTTCACTGCAACAATTTTACATTTAACAATACTGTCAATAGAACTTACCTACAAGTCGGCGGCACAGCTATGGACACCAAAGTGGCCCCGTCTTTTGCAAATATCTTTATGGGACATTTAGAGGAGGGAGAAACTAAATGGATTCCCTCTTCAGCCATTCTTATCCCTTAGGTTCATTGATGATATTTTCATCAGTTTGAAGCATGGTAAAGAATCACTCAATAGATTTATACAACATATGAATTCTCAGCATAGAAGATCATAGAACAATCAAATTCACCCCTGAAATATCAGAAGAACAAGTTGTATTCTTAGACACTATTGTGAAATTCCACAAAACACTTGGCACAGTAGACAAAAAAAAATGGTAGAGGTTGAACTACAATGTATACACTAAACCCACTGATACCCATTCGTACCTCCAGTACGTTTCGGAACATCTACTTCCATGCAGAAAAGCTGGACCTTATGGACAGTTCCTCAGGGTTAAGAGAAACTGCACAAATGAGGCAGATTTCCGTAAACACTCTACAGAATTGTTTAAATATTACAAATTCTGAGGGTATCATGATACTCTTCTTCGCACTAACCTCGAAAAAGCAGAAGCAAAAGACCGAAAAACACTACTCAAACCTGTCAAAAACGACACCAAAAAAATTACCAGAGTTTCACTAGTCTTGAGCTATACAAAAGCCAGTCCAAATCTAAGAAAGATTATTGACACTACTTGGCCTCAGTTGCATATCAAAGACACAACCAAACAGATTTTCAGTGAACAACCGCTTTTTGCCTATAGAAGAAATAAAAACCTCAAAGATATTCTAGTTTGAGCGACATTCCAATATCCGCCAATCACGCCGGGGACTGCGGACCTCAAGGATTAGTACACTAAACAAGTTGACCAATTGCAGCAATGATGAATGTAGCTACTGTCCTTGGATTAATTTCTGAAGGTCCTTCTCCAGTACATTCACAGAACGCAAGTATAGAAAAAACTATATCGGTGACTGCAACACATCAAATATCATTTACATGATTACATGCAAGTCTTGTAAACAACAATATGTTGGTAAAAGCAAACGTCCATTTAAAGCTCGACTCGGTGAACATCTCCGATATGTCAAAAACAATAATGCAAAGAAATAACAATTCTATAAGAAATGAACGCATGGAATATAATGGCGACCTTTTTTCTAATTCTAAATTATGGTCACTAATTCTTAACTTAGTGAAGCATTTTCTTATAGAAAAGGCATTGGATGCTAAATAAAACTAAATGCTAGTTTACAGAGAAAGTACAATATAAATACAAATACAATAGATGTACCATGCAAGTCCAGCAGTTTTGACAACATAAATGCTTCTTTAAGTAAAGGATTTATTTTTTCAGAATTCAGAGTTCAGGTTCAAGATTTTTGTATTTCATAAGTTGCACATGTACAAATGATGTATATTTTATTAGAAAATATATCCATGTATATAACATACATGTATAATATTTTTTTTTAAATTGAAATTGCTTGTTATATAATTCAGGATAATCAAATAAATAATTTTATTAAATTAATAATTTAATAATCCTAAATTGTATATTAAATTTAATAATTAATGCAAATGAACAATTCACTACAATGTACATGATGCACTAAAAATTAACCTATTTTCTTATATATATATATATTATTTCTGTTTTGTTTTCAAATGCTAGTCAATAACTTATCTTTGACGTTTTATCTTAATATCTACTTTGTGTCTTTCTGTTTGTTTACATATATTTCTTAACACCCATCTTTGCTAGCCAAGGGTAACGATCCAGTCCCCTCCTCTCCAAGGGTTACGATTCAGTCCCCTCCTCTCCTGACTGGATCGTAACCCTAGGCTAGGGAAGATGCATAACACCATGAAGCCAGTCAAGTAACAACTTTAAATAAACCATATTGACCGATAGTTTTAATGTTTATTAATAAATCATTATTCTATTTTTAGAAGAAGTTTTGTATACAAATTGTAAAAATTTAAAAAGTAATAAAAACACCTTACTTCCCATGTCATAAGCATTATGAAAAGATTCAAATGAATTTTCTACAATATAAATACTTGACACTGATTGAGAAAGGGAATTAATTTGCATCCCTTAAAAATACAGGATGATAAGATTAGTATCACATATACAAAAATAAAAAAATACTACATTTTTACCTATACATGTAATAACCCTATTTCTCCAATCAAACATAATCTAAAAGAACTCGCCAAGGAATTTATTTTTCTCCAGGCTGATAAGGCTGCTAATAATATAATTATTGTTTGACAATTTTACATTGAGGTTCTTCAAAAGGAAATCACGAACAACTAACTCCATTTTCAGAAAATGACATCTGTAACAAACATAAACTAATAGCCACTTCTTTACAAACAGAACCAAAAACAATGAAAGTTCCATCCATGTACTGGCTTCCGAAACTGCACAAAACACCTTACAAATATAGATTTATTTCGTCTTCAAGCCATTGTTCCACTACTAAACTGTCTATTCTACTTACTAGTACACTTGGTACAATCAAAATCCTGGTAATAAATTGTTCATATAAGGCCTTTGAAAACAGTGGAATTAATTACTTTTGGAGTGTCAAAAATTCGTTGGAAGTACTTGATAAATTGCATGCTTATATTGGTAATTTCGAATCTGTTCAAAATTTTGATTTTTCTTCCCTATTTACCACTTTGCCTCGTAATCATATTAAGAAAAAAATCACACACCTAATTACATGGGCATTTAAAAAGTCAGAATGCGAATATATATGTTCAAACTCTTTTAGGTCATTTTTTTAGTAACAACAAACAAAAGAACTATGTCAATTGGACCTGCTTTGATACTATAATTACTGCCCTTGAATTTTTACTAGATAACATTTTTGTTCGCTATGGAGATTTCGTATATCGTCAAGTTATCGGAATTCCAATGGGGACTAACTGTGCACCACTTATTGCAGACCTGTTTTTATATTGTTATGAGTTACAATTTATGACTAAAATCAGTAAAGACCCATCGAAACAACAACTGATACAAAATTTAATAACACTTTTAGATATTTGGATGATATATTGGCTATCAATAATGACGACTTCAGTATGTACACTAAAGAGATTTATCCGGCTGAACTGAATTTAAATAAAGCTAATAATAACAATGAACACTGCCCTTTCCTGGATTTTGATATCTATATCTTTAACGGGAAGCTTAATACCAAAATTTATGATAAAAGAGATGCTTTTTCATTTCCAATTGTTAATTATCCATTTTTTTCTCGCCTTGACGGAGTCAAAAAGCGAGACATAGGTATGCTGTTTCCGGCGTCGGCGGCGACGGCGTCAACAATGTATTAGTTTGTGATAAGGTCTAGTTCATGGTGAACCACTAGTGGTAGGTCAATGATATTTGGTATGCAGTTGTATTATCATTGGCTCATCTCATTACCATGGAGATTATTTGGCTCCGCCCCTCAGTCAAGGTCTATTGACTTTGAAACTTTGCTTCGTTTACATGTATTAGTTTATGATTAGGTCAGTTTATAGGGATCCACTAGTGGTAGGTCAATGATATTTGGTATGCAGTTGTATAGGCATTGGCACATCTCATTTCCATGGAGATGATTTGGCCCCGCCCCCTCATTCATGGTCTATTGACTTTGAAACTTTTGCTTCGTTTTCATGTATTAGTTTGTGATAAGGTCAGTTCAAGGGGAACCGTTAGTGGTAGGTCAATGATGATTGGTATGCAGTTGTATAACTAAGCATTAGCACATCTCATTTCCATGGAGAATATTTGGTCCCGCCCCCTCAGTCATGGTCTTTTGACTTTGAAACTTTTGCTTAGTTTACATATATTAGTTTGTGATTAGATCAGTTTGATGAACCGCTAATGTTAAGTCAATGATATTTGGTATGCAAATGTATTGGCATTTGCAAGTCTCGTTTCCATGGATTGTATAGCCCCACCCCTCATCATGGTTCATTGATTTTGAAACTTTTACATAGTTTACAAGTCAATGTTTGTGTTTAGGTTTGTTGAAAGCGAACGACTTATGATAAGTCTATGGTATTTTGTATGCAGTTGTATTAGCACTGGCACATCTCATTTCCATGGAGATTGTTTTGCCATATACCTTCAGTCATGGTTCATTGACTTTGAATATTTGCATAACTTACATGTTAAAGTATTGCCATTTTAATTTCAACATTTGCATTATCAAAAGTACAAAAAGGCGAGATATATCTCTGTGTTAACAGTTTATTATTGTTATGAAAAGGTACATTTGTGTAGAAGATCAACATCATACCCAATAGGCCAATTATCATTCGCATTTCAAAACTATATATTTTTAGTCCCCTATCGACGAAGTCGAAGGGAACTCTAGGTTTGCACTCCGTCCGTCTGTCTGTCTGTCCATCTGTCAGTCCTGCAAGTTTTCAAAACTTTTTTTCTTCGTCCTTGAAGATATTGATTTGATATTTGGTGTATTGTTTTAACATGACAAGTTACAGATCAAGTTCGAATTTTGTTCCGGTCTGACGATTTTGTGAAGAGTTGTGGTCCTTGGACTTAGAAAATTCACTCAAATAATCAGTTTTCCGCACTTTTTTATGCCCCATCTAGGGGCATTATGTTTTTCAGTCTGTGCGTCCGTTCATTCGTCCGTCCGTCTGTCCCGCTTCAGGTTAAAGTTGAAGTCCAATCAACTTGAAACTTAGAACACATGTTCCCTAGGATATGATCTTTCAAATTTTGATGCCAAATCAGAGTTTCGACACCAATTTCACAGTCCACTGAACATAGAAAATGATAGTGCGAGTGGGGCATCCATGTACTATGGACACATTCTTGTTTCGTCATGCTTGAAGATATTGATTTGATAATTGGTATATAGTTTTATCATGACAAGTTACAGATCAAGTTCGAATTTTGTCCCGGTCTGATGAATTTGTGCAGAGTTATGGTCCCTGGACTTAGAAAATTCACTCAAATAATCAGTTTTCTTAACTTATTTTCGTCATGCTTGAAAATATTGATTTAATAATTGGTATATAGTTTTATCATGACAAGTTACAGATTAAGTTCAAATTTTGTTCCGGTCTGATGATTTTGTGCAGAGTTATGGTCCTTGGACATAGAAAATTCAAGTTAATCAGTTTTCCACACTTTTTTTCATCATGCTTGAAGATATTGACTTAATATTTGTAATATAGTTAACACCATGACAAGTTATAGATCAAGTTAGCATTTTGTTCCAGAACAAAGAATTTTTAACCGGTAGGGGACTATGTATTGCCATGCAATACTCTCAGAATGCTTGTTTATAATTGATATGCCTAAATTAATGTTTTATTTTAAATTCACAAAATAACAAAATGAAAGCAATCTTTACCCTTCAATGCTCACAAGCATTTTGATTTTCTGTAAACACTTGAGCATTTGTGACCACAAGCATATATTAAATACTGTTTTCAGACAAACATAAAAATAATAAGCCTATTGTTAAAAGTTTATATAAATCGTTTCAGGAATTGCTGCCTCACAAGGATACTGGTCCCCAGAACACATAACTCAATTTGAAGATCTGACACTTGACCAAAACTTTAATACAGTTTTCAAGAAATGGAGCAAGGAGGAAGATAGATACTCAGTAGAGATGACAACATTACCAGGAGAAAGTTTAAATCTCAAATTCGGCAGCATGTCAAATTCACTTTGTTCAGAGCAGTCAGATGATCAGGGAAGAAACAGATCTTTAGAAATGTCTGGCAATAATGATATGAAGGTGAAAGCTGGTGGGTTTAGTGACACTGATGGAAGTAGAGGCTTTGGTGCAGCCAGTCGTAGCTTTGGGGGAAGGGATGAAGATTCTGGTAGAGGTGGCCGCAGAGGTGGTTTTGGGGGTGATAGAGGAGGACGAGGAGGATTTGGTGGTGGAGACCGTAGTAGTGGTTTTGGAGACAGTGATGGTGGGGATAGAGGTTGGAGAAGAGGAGGGTTTGGTGGGGACAGAGGAGGAAGAGGAGGATTTGGTGGTGGAGACCGAGGTGGTGGATTTGGTGCATCAACAAAAACTGATGATGACTGGGGAGATGGAACAAATACCAGTTCTGGATTTGGTGGAAGTAGTTTTGGAGGTGACAGAGGAGGTAGAGGAAGTTTTGGAGGCGGTAGAGGTGGCCGTGGAGGTAGAAGTAATGGGTTTGGAAGAGAAGACAATAACGATAGAGGATTTGGCAGCAGCAGAGGTCGAAGTGGAGGATTTGGCAGAGACCAAGATAACAGTAGTGATCAGGGAAGTGAAAGTGGATTTGGTGGCAGAATAAGGGGTTTTGGAGGAGACAGAGGAGGTCGTGGTGGAAGCAGAGGTGGCCGTGGTGGATTTGGTGGCGACCGAGATGATGGTGGTAGTGGTTTTAGTAGTGACAGAGGTGGACGTTCTGGTGGATTTGGAGGAGATCGAGGAGGTAGTTTTGGTGAAAACAGAGGTGGCATAGGAGGTGGTTTTGGTGGAGTCCGAGGTGGCAGAGAAAGTGGATTTGGTGGTGGCAGAGGAGGTAGTTTTGGGGGCGACAGAGGTGGTAGAGGAGGAGGTTTTGTTGGAGACAGAGGTGGCAGAGAAAGTGGGTTTGGTGGCGACAGAGGTGGCAGAGGAGGTGGGTATGGTGGCGACAGAGGTGGCAGAGGAGGTGTGTTTGGTGGCGACAGAGGTGGCAGAGGAGGAGGTTTTGGTGGTGACAGAGGTGGTAAAGGGGGAGGTTTTGGTGGAGACCGGGGAGGTGGCAGAAGTGGGGGATTTGGAGGTGGAGGTTTTGGTGGTAATACAGTTCAAGCTTCTGCTGATGAGGATTGGGGAGATACTACATCAAGCCCACCAGTAGCTAATCCAGTTACAGACAGAAAAGGAAATGGAGATAGTTGGGATGTTAAACCATCAGGTAACCTTGCAGTGATCCATAGTGGTGGTGATAGTGAAGATAAATGGACACATAAAAACTTGAACAGATTTGTGTCTCAGAAATTTGTACTTGGAAAATCATTAATAGTTAATGTTGTCTATTCAAATAACCCAGCGGAATTCTGGTGTCAGAGCTTAGATCAAGTACCTGCTTTTGAAGAAATGTCTGAGAACATGAACAAAGAATATAACAGTATTTCTGAAAATGAATTAAATCTTGACAAACCTGAAATACAAATGCCTTGTATTGCTAAATTTTCAGAAGATGAACAATGGTACAGAGCAGAAATTATAAACATAAAAGGAGATGACTTAGAGGTCTTATTTGTTGACTATGGAAACACAGAAACAATATCAAAATCATCTGCAAAATCCATTAAAACACAATACTGTAGTATGCAGATACAGGGAATCAAATGCTCATTGAATAATGTAAAGCCAAATGGTAATTCTTGGTCAGAAAAATCTAATGATGATTTTTCTACATCAACAACTGACAAAAATATGGAATTGAAATTTATAAGTCTATCATCAGGAACATATGAAGTTGAGTAAAAGGATTCTGAGACCAATGATGAAATTGCAGTTAAACTAGCAGAAATGGGTCATGTCACATTTTTCTTAGGAAGTCAAAAAGTAATCAACCCATACCCATGTACTACACTACCTATAGACACATCAAAAGAAGTGTTTGTATCATGGATTGATAATCCACACTGTTTTTGGATTCAGCTCGCTGAGACTACTGATAGTCTAAATGAACTTGTTGAGAAAATTCAAGAGGAATATAACCCAGGATCATCTTCAAGTTCTGCTGTTGAGAAAGCAGAAGTTGGAATGCAGGTTATAGCTCAGTTTACTGATGACGATGCCTGGTATAGAGCATACATAGAGAGTATAGATGCTGGAAAATATTGTGTCCGTTTTATTGACTATGGTAACTCTGATAAAGTAGAAATGGAAAGGTTATGTAAACCTTCTCCAGAATTGTTAAGTACAAATGCATATGCATTTAGATGTAAATTAGCTGGAGTTAAACCATTACAAGCAGGTTGGAATGTTGACTCGAAGGATATAATGGAAAGTCTGGTAACGGATGCTGTCTCTTGTCTTGTCAAGGCATCTGACAAGAGTGAACACACTGTAGAGATGTCAGTGGGATCTAAAAACATTGCAGAAGAACTAATTAACACAGCAGTGGCTAGAAAGGATGTAGGCCCAGCAGAAATGGCTAAACCAGTAACTACCAGCTCAGGAAGTTCTATACCAAGTAGATCTATACAGAAAAACAATCCAGTCTCTGCTTATGTTAGCTCAGTTATATCTCTGTCCAAATTTTATATTCAGTTTGCAGATGAAGAGGCCGCCTTGGAAAAATTAATGAGTAGTTTACAAGTAGCTTATAATGAGAATCCAGGAGAAGGTACAAATTTTGCTGTAATAGGACAGTTTTATTGTACAAAGTATACAGAAGATGATTCATGGTATCGTGCCATAGTGGACAGCCTTGGTGATAAAGTTACAGTCTGTTTCGTTGATTATGGTAATTCAGAAAATGTCAATGTATCAGATTTAAAACTTTTAAAATCTGAGTTCTCAACTTTACCTGCATTCGCTGTAAAAAGTTGTTTGTCTGGGGTTGAACCAGTAACAGATAAATGGTCAGATGAGGCCAATACAGCTTTAGAAGAAGCAGTTGTAGACCAAGAGTTAACTGTAAATTTTATAACTGATTCTGATGTATTTGTTTCCAATACAGAAGGAGATGTAGCTCAGAGTTTGATTTCAGCAGGACATGCCAGAGCCAGACCTTCCTCTAATTCTACAGACTACATTATCAATGGAAGACCAGGTTACACCAGTTGGAGAAGTAATTGTCTATTTATCTGCTATAAATGATAAAGGATTTTATTTACAATTGGCAAGTCAGGAAAGTACACTACAAAACATGTCCGACCTTTTGCTAACATTATGTCCAACCTTACAACCTGTCAGTCTACCATCTTTATCAGTTGGAAACTTTTGTTGTGCTAAATTTTCTGAAGATGACGCATGGTATAGAGCAGTTGTGACAGACATAAAAGATCAAGAAGTTACTGTTACTTTCATAGATTATGGAAATGGGGAAACATTGCCAGGTAGTAGTCTTAAACAGCTGCACAAAGAAATACTGTCCCCAGCTATGGCATTCCGTTGTTGTTTGGATGGTTGTGAATCTGTAAACCCAACCAACCTAGAGCCAAGGCTTACAGCCCTAATGGATTCAACAGAACTTAATGCCTTGTTTAAAGGGAAGATAGGAGACTTATTTAAAGTTGTGTTGACAGACAGTGGTGTAAATGTGAACCAGGAATTGGGTGATAAAGGTATGGGAATTATATCTACTTTTCAAAAGCTGTTAAACCAGTTTGTTTCTTTATTTATGATAGCTAAGCAGGAATTCATTTCTCATCCAACAAATAAGCCAACTGATTTTTTTTGTATAAGTACACTTCAAATAGTTGAAGTAACAAATTTTGAAGAGAAAAAAACTGGTGCTCACTTAAATAGGCACCATATATACAGATAAAGAACACCTACATGTGTTTCACATTGATTAAAATGTTTTGACTGTCAGTAAAGCAAATATTATAAAAGCTATTTTGTTTATATAAAACACACACTGGTAAATAGGAATTTTACATAGAAAATTTAAAAACTTTATAATGACATTGAGCTTTTCAGAAAATGTACTTCTTTTTTTCTTTGAAAATTACTTAATTCTGAAATTATCTTGCAGGTGATGCTCTAGCTGGTGGTGATATGATGGTTCTTGATGAAACAGGAGATGCACAAAAACTTTCAGAAATTAAAGGTATGCTGTATGATTAAAAAAAAAGAGATGTGGGGTATACACAATGAGACACTTTCCTAACAACAAAACCATAACATATCTAGAAACCAACTTGCAGTCTGCAACAATAGACTAGGCTTAATACCATATGCCAAAGATTAAATTGATTCAAATCTAAAATAAATTTTACAGAGACTATAGCTACCAAAATTTTGCCATATTCCAAATTATTTTAGAAGTCAAAAAAAAAGACTTGATGATATTAATACCACTAATGATTTTTGTGACAGTTTTTTTTTGTCGTATGAATTTCTTTCTGGTCAGTTATAGGATAACTTTATTTGCTATATGTGACCCTTGCAAGGTTTTCACATCTGTCAGGCAGGGTTCACCTGATCTTGTCTCATTTCATGGATCAGTGATCAAGATTAAGTTTTAGTTATTAGGTCTAAATCTTAGATACTTATAGCAAAAGGTCAACTATATTTGATTGTAAGGTGTACTTGTCCCCCTGGGAGGGTTTATTATGATCTTGACCTCATTTTCATGGTCTTGGTCAATGTCAATGTTAAGTTTTTGTCTCGCCTTGATGGAGTCAAAAAGCGAGACATAGGTATGCTGTTTCCGGCGGCAGCGTCACCAATGTGATTAGTTCTAGTTTATGGTGAACCACAAGTGGTAGGTCAATCATATTTGGTATGCAGTTGTATTAGCATTTACACATCTTATTTCCATGGAGATTATTTGGCCCTGCCCCCTCAGTCATGGTCTATTGACTTTGAAACTTTTGCTTAGTTTACATGTATTAGTTTGTGATTAGGTCAGTTTATGGGGAACCACTTGTGGTAGGTTAATGATATTTGGTACACAGTTGTATAAGCATTGGCATATCTCATTTCCATGGAGATTATTTTGCCCCGCCCCCTTAGTCATGGTCTATTGATTCTCAAAATTTTGCTTTGTTTACATGTATTAGTTTGTGATTAGGTCAGTTTATGGGGAACCACTAGTGGTAGGTCAATGATATTTGGTACACAGTTGTATAAGCATTGGCATATCTCATTTCCATGGAGATTATTTTGCCCGCCCCCTTAGTCATGGTCTATTGACTCTCAAAATTTTGCTTTGTTTACATGTATTAGTTTGTGATTAGGTCAGTTCAAGGGGAACTATTAGTGGTAGGCCAATATATAAATAACGCATAGCTGAGGGGTTGATAGAGCAGATTGTTACCCCGAGAAAACATTGTCAACTGAGGCGAAGCCAAGGTTGACAATGTCTTTTCGAAGGGAAACAATCTGCTCTATCACCCTCTCAGATATATGTTATTTAATTTATTATACTGAATGTTCTGTTATTATTGTCTATCAAATTTCAAATTCAAAGTAATAAAATAAAACGTCTTGTACATAACAATCATCCGCATTTATTAAAACGCGAACTTGACCAAGCGTCTCCATGAAGGGTAATAGAGTATTTGCCATGAGGTAGAGTAAATTGTCTCCCTCATCAACCAATCAAAATCTGCATTTTGATATGAAGTATTATAATGTTAATCGGTATTCAGTAGTATAAGCATTAACACATCATTTCCATGGAGAATATTTGGCCCCGCCCCCTCAGTCATGGTCTATTGACTTTGAATCTTTTGCTAAGTTTACATGTATTATTTTGTGATTAGATCAGTTTATCTGCTAATGTCAAAGTCAATGATATTTGGTATGCAAATTTATTGGCATTTGCAAGTATTGTTTCCATGGAGATTATATAGCCCACCACCTCATCATGGTTCATTGACTTTGAAACTTTAACATGTTTACAAGATAATGTTTGTGTTTAGGTTTGTTTAAAGGGAACAACTTATAATAAGTCAATTGTATTTGGTATTCAGTTGTATTAGCATTGGCACATCTCATTTCCATGGAGATTGTAGAGCCATGTACCTCAGTCATGGTTCATTGACTTTGAATATTTGCATAACTTACATGTTAAAGTATTGCTATGTTTATTTCAACATTTGCATAATCAAAATTACAAAAAGGCGAGACATATCTCTGTGGTAACAGTTTATTAGATGGTGACGTTCCCTTGTCATCATCTTATGGTGTTTATATATCTGAACTTGTTCGATTCGCTCGTTATGTAACAACGTATTTGATTTTAACGAAAATAATCTCTGTATTACCGAGAAATTATTACACCAGGGTTTTCAATATCACAAACTAGTCAAAACATTTACTAAATTTTATCATCGGTACAAGGACATCATTCGTAATATAAATCAACATGCAGACATCTTATACGTTCAGGTATTTCTCATCCAATCTTTTATGGTAATATTCTTTACAAAGCACAAAAATGTCGGCATTCACCTCAAAAGCTAACCAAACCGTTAAACAGACTTATTCAGAAGAGATGTAGTTACTATACTGTTGTCAGATCATTACAGATGGCATATTTTGGTGTTAATATTGATTCACTTATAGGGTCTTTGCATCGGAAATAAACACATTTATTCTAAAACCAGTTGTTGGCATGATACGGGTTATGTTCTTCTCATATATTTTATGATGGTATGATACTAAACCCCTAACGGGAGGGATTGTTCTTGATTTTCATATGATGAAGACATAATCTGTCAATCAGTTTAATTGAAGTCTGGGGCTGGAATGTCGGTAACTGCTAGTAGTCTTTTGTTAATTTATGTATCATTTTAATTTTGCTTAGTTTCTTCTGTTACGTATTCTGACATCGGACTCGGACTTCTTTTAAACTGAGTTTTACTGTGCGTATTGCTGTGTGTTTGTTTTTTCTACATTGGCTAGAGGCATAGGGGGAGGTTTAAGATCTCACGAAGCATGTTTAACCCTGCCGCATTTTTGCGCCTGTGCCAAGTCAGGAGCTTCTGGCCTTTTTTTAGTCCTGTATGATTTTTAATTTTAGTTCATTTCTATGTTTTTGAGTATAGTATGACGTCCTTTTTCACTGAACTAGTACACATTTTTATTTAGGGGCCAGCTGAAGCCCGCCTCCGGGTGCGGGATTTTCTTGCTGTGTTGAAGACCCATTGGTGGCCTTCGGCTATTTTCTGTTCTATGGTCGGGTTGTTGTCTCTTTGACACATTCCCCATTTCCATTCTCAATTTTATGTAGATGATTTCTAAACTTTGGAATTGAATGAATGAAAAAATTCTATTTCAATCTTTAAACAAAACTTATTCACACGAAGTAATTGAAAAGGGACAAGAACAATTTACCTGTACAGGTAAACTTTTGATGCAGGATGTCATTTACACACCATTTTTTAATCAATAGATGAAATTAGTGCATCTTTCCAGGTAACCTAATTAGACTGACCACCAGCCCATGGTTTATGACCCCAATAAATGGCCAACATCCCAGGTTTTATGTGCCCAATAAATAGTCACCATTTGATGTTGAACATAGCAGATGGTGACCATTATTCAGAGAATGTCACAGGTTGTACAGTATATAAATGAGATACAAATTGACTTCACTTCAACCTAAGTAGTGTAACGTACACGTGTATATTAATCTAAAACATACGGCTAAGACAATCTATACCTTGGGGTAGAAAAACCTTTGACATTTCAAATTATTCAACATTTTATTTACAGTATATTTAAAAAAAAAAATTAACATAATTATCATTGAATCAATGATCAGTGATGATTGAAATTCAATGTCAACACAAATGTACTGACTACTTGGCTGGTGATAAATTGCTGTTAAGTTTCATGCAATGTGCGTTAGACTCGTCTATTTTCGTGCTTATTTGAGGGCATTTTCCTTTGATCTATTGTTTTTTCCCTTCGATGTTTACATTTTCGCCAAATCTCACGCATATGCTTCATGAAAACTTGACAGCCCTGGGTGATACGTTTTGGAATGGAACGTTCACCAGAAATGGCATTGGCCCAGTGGTTGTAAAAATTCATCAAAGATTTTATAAAACCTGTAAACAGCAAAAATGATCAGCAATACAAGATCTACAAAAATGTCAATATGAACAAATCCATTGGAAGACTCATTGTAGGAGTTATTGCCCTCAATTAATGATTTGTTACTAATTTACGAGCTTTTGCCTATTTTCAATAAAAACTATAAATGAAATGTAGAAACTGAAAACATAAAAAATTATCAGCAATACAAGATCTACAAAAATGCCACTATGACTGACACAATTTGATGAATCCTTATGCGTTATTGCCCTTAAGGGAATTTTATATAAATTTTCTAGTTTTTGTCTATTTTGTAAAAAAATATAATGGATAGGTAGAAATTAAACTGCAAATAGATAAAATAATCAGCAATACAAGATCTAAACAAAAAATGCTAAAATGACCAAATCATTTTGATGAATCCTTATGAGTTAGGCCACACTTAAAAATATTTTGGTTTAACTACCCAAAGGTAGAGACGGTGGGTAGGTTAAGGTAAGCATTTTCTTTTTTTTTCAGCAAAGAGAAATTGAAGAGTCCGATGTTTTTTAGTCTTCATGCCTACCTGATAAAAAAAAAAAACTTTTTCACATCAGGACAATACAGCTATTTTATGGGTAGGTAGGGTTAGCACAAACATATTCTTTTTTATGGCCTTATTGCCATCAAATGGGGATTTGATACTAATTTTATAGTTTTTGTCTGTTTTGTGGAAAAATATACTCAATAGGTAGAAATTGTAAACATTAAAAAAATTATCAGCAATACAAAATCTATAAAAATTCCAAAATGACCAAATTATTTGGATGCATCCTTTTGAGTTATTGCCCTTAAAGGAGCATTAGCTGTCAAATTCATGTTCACCGATTTGACTCAAAAAATTCTCATATTTAATTTATAATATACTAAAACGTATATCCAAATAATAAAAAGTCTAAAATAAACAATATACGATGCACTGACTCGATAATATGTATCAGCATTTCGTGTGTATTTTAGTCTAGACGCCATCTAATTAACCATCCCTTCGAAGACTGCCAACGGTCATATAACCCGATATAAACATAAACATAGATATAAATAGAAAGCGAACTCGTGCAATTGGATTTTTCTAGGTCTGTTTGATTTCATATTATAGGTTTAAAAAATATGTAATTAATCGTTTTTACCTGTATAATAAAGAGTTTTTGTAGATCGAATCAGTCAACCAAATGGTTTACCCTAGTTTCACTTCCGATGTTGACATTTTTTTCTTCTTAATAGCTGAACGCGCCTAGTTCATGCGTAACCCATCTCTATCTAAGGGGTTCAACTGAAGTTCACATTAATACGAATTCAATGAGGTCGGAATATTCACTTGCAAGTGAATAATTCATTAGCGATGTTTCTTTGCTTATTATGATAAAACTGAGCCAAACTGGCTGCTAAAAACGAATTATTATATAACTACTTCACTTTCATTAATGATTGAACCAAAAAAAAATCATATTTTTTTTTGTATATCTCGTAGCTAATGCCCCTTTAGATAATGATTTTGACTAATGTTTTATTTTTTATTTATTATTTCAATTTTTGACAGCTGAGAAATTCAGGCTCTTAGGAGCCTCTTATTCGTTCTTAAATCTGAATTAAGTAATCGATAAGCATTTGTATGCCTCCCCTATGGTAGAGGGAGGACATTGTGTTTTCTGGTCTGTGCTACTCTTCATTTGTCTTTTCTGTTCCAGGTGATAGATTTGGATTTTGAAAGGTAGTTTACAAAGAAGTTGCGGTCACATCATATATTCTTATTGTTGCTTGAAATCTATATTTTGCAGCATGTATAGCAGAGTATTGCGTTTACCATTCAACCTAGCTTTCGAAAATGAGTGCTGATCAAATATTTTTAACGAGTTATGCCCCTTGGAAATATTAATTATAATAGAAATCACATTGCTTTGCTCTGAAGCTTTCATTTCTCTAAGATATTAATAAAAAGTTTTAAGGAACAAAAAAAAAAGTTGCTTTTTTAAGTTATTGCCCTTGTACCTTGGATAGATAAAATATGTGCAACGCGGGGGACATTGGAACTCTGTTCTTTTATTAAATTATATTCTCCTTTTCATAAGCCTATTTTGTTGACCTATTTAAAATGGTCATTATTGTCTTATAGACATGAGATTTATTTAATTTCTTTTCTTGAGATTTTGTTCTATAATCTGATAATAAATGATAACATGTCGATTTTATTTTACAGGTTCTTCTTTAAAAATATCAGACACAAAGTGTGGACCGTGTGATGTGAGAGAGAAAAATAACCAGTCACTATACTGGTGTATGTCCTGCGAAGAAGGTCTGTGTGAAGAATGTTACGACCATCACAGAGCAATAAAGTCATCTAGAAATCATTCAGTTGTTCCCCTTGAAAGTGTCAAGCATCTAGAGCAATTCATTTCATCTTTCAAAACAGATTGTTCTATTCATGATAAGCCATTAGAACTTTTTTGCCCATGCCATGAAGAACCTTGCTGTACCAAATGTGCTTCACTAAGTCACCAAAACTGCGTAGGCATCACTCTGTTCCAAACGGTTGTAAATGATTTGAAGAGATCTGATAAGCTTTCCTATCTTGACAATGATATTGGAACTCTATTGAAAAACATTGACTCGTTAATTGAAAATCGCAAAGTCAACTTGAAAGAAATTTCTGATCAGGGTAAAACAAAATTTGACTTGTTTGCAGTTCTGAAAGAAAAATTAAAAGATCTTGAAATCAAACTGCAGTCTAAATGTCAAGGGTTGCATGTGGCTGCATATGCAGAAATAGAAGCAGTTGTAGCAAAACTCCAGAAAAAGCGACAGATGATAATAGACTATAAAAATAACTTGTCACAGCTGAGACAAATTGGTGCAGATACACAACTGTTCCATGGAACCAAACAAATGGAAAAATTCATAGAAGAAGAAGGGAAAGCTCTTTATGCAATTGTAAAAGAGCCATCTATGCAAGAAGTTAAAATAAAATCAAAAATGAGTGACAATTTCAAACAAATTGTGTCTGATTTAATAGATGTGACTATAAAAAGGGAAAATTCTACGGTGATTCTGAAGGATGTAGAAGGCAGTTAAACTTGCCAAAGTGTTAAGGATAATGAAACAGAAGTATCAGTTGTCCAAAAGACACAGACTGAATTTGACAAATCAATGTTTAAAGGCAATACAAACATTTCCTGCTTAGTAGCCTTACCAGGAGGTGATATAGCCGTTACAGGTTATGACTCTGAGGATCAACAACTTTTTATATTTGATATCACTGGGTCAGTAAAGAAAAGAATATGTTACCCTAATAGACCATTTGGATTGACTGTTATTAATAAAGATATCTTTGCAGTTTCATTTCCAGAATTATGGTGCATTAAGATTTACTTGCTAAATGCATTCGCAGAAATAACCGAAATCCAGACAAATGGAGAGTGTTGGGGTTTACAGTTTGAAGATGGTATATTTATAGCTGCCATTAGAAATGTTGAAATTTCATTTATGAACTTATTAGGAACTGTTCAAAAACATTTCCAATGAAGCAAAAGAATCTTGTTTATGTTTTGAAAAGCAAAGAGAGGCACTTTCGAACAGAGTTTGAAAACCATAGTGTTCACTGCTATAGTTCCATCAAAGGGCGGAAAGAGTGGCAATTTTCTCACCCGACTGTACTTGGTCCTCGAAACATGTGTATTGATGCTGAAGGCAATTTATTTGTAGCATGTCAAGATTCCAACTGTGTAATTCTTATTTCTAGTGATGGGAACCATTTCAAAAGAGTTGTTGAAATGAGATATGCAAAGTGTATTTACTTTGATGTGCAAAAGTCTCTTCTTTATGTTTGTAGTGTCAATGGAAAAGACATGGCTTCATTCATTATTCCGAAGAACTTTTGCTCTTTTTGATAACTATAAATAGAAATGATACAGAAAGAATTAAAAAAAATGAAATGATCTAAATAATCTGTCACTACACAATACAGACTTCTATCATTTGTCTAGTGATGATTGTTAATATAGTTGTATATCTTTATATTGAAAAATATCACAAGCCATTTCTTGTGTCGCATGTTTTTATTTAAAAAATGCCTTGTTTTGCTTATAGTGAAAACTTCACTTGCCAAAAATATGTTTAGGTTTCAATAGTAGTTTGTTTCTAAATGTTCCTTGTAGGCACTTTATATCTTACTTTTTTTGGTCAAGATTGTGAGTAAATTCATATTCCAAAAGTTTTTATTCATTATTGATTTTATTTTAGTAGGTTACCGTTATCCAAAGGTCATCATCAATAAGCTAAAGTAATTAAACATGCTTATACTTTGATGGGTTAACGATGCTTAAACATGTTTCTATGAAAAGTTTTATACATAATTCATTATTTGAACAAGACCCTAGATCATGCAGATAGCTTCAACTGGATTGAGAATTTATCCGGATTGGAATAAATAGCGATAACGTGTACTCGCATACCAGAATCCGGCCAAGCTGCACCATATCTCGTTTTGCGACAGTATGATAGTAAGATGACTATGGCCAATACTTCTTCACAAAGAATATCAGGGATTGGAATAATCTACCAACATCAATATCATGAATATCATCGTTTAACACAGTTGAAGAATTAAAAGCCTTGAAGACATGCTCTGAAATGAAAAAGACAACACCAATATGTACATAGTTTCAACTCTTAAAATATTGCGAACGTTTTAAATGTAAATAGCCAAGAGAGAACTTTCTGTTTTTTTCTGTCACTGCGAAATTTTTCGTAAATTCTAATTTCGAATCCGGTTCATTATAATAAAAATAAGGAGATGAGGTTTCATTTCCAATGAGACAACTATCCACCAAAGTTCAAATCAAGTGGATTTAAGCAATTATAGGCTCCCAATAGCAATGAAAAAATATCACGTATAGTCAGCTATGAAAGGCCCCGCCATGAAAAATATGAAACAATTCAAATGAGAAATATAAAGGCATTATTTATAACAAAACAATTAACGAAACACAGATATGACACAAAAAAATAGTTAAAAAAAGCTTGATGTCTTGAGCTGGCATTTCAGTAACTGCTAGATGTCCTTTGCTGATTTATGTATCATTTTTATTTTGGTTAGTTTCTTCTGTTACCTATTCTGGCATCATACTCGAACTTCATTTCAATTGAATTTTACTGTGCATATTGCTGTGTGTTTATTTCTTCTACATTGGCTTGAGGTATAGGGGGTGCGTTGTGAATTCACAAAATTCTATTCTAGATGGAGAACGATATTTTGGTCTGTAATAACATGGCCACATGGATCATATCTAAAATTCGACTATTCTCATTTTTAAGTTAAAGGAGTATTATTTTCTACATTGACGTCTGATGTTACTGACGTAAAATTAAAAATTAAACTTCTGGTTTTTTTTAGTCCCCTACCGACAAAGTCGAAGGAGACTTTAGGTTTGCACTCCGTCCGTCTGTCTGTCTGTCTGTCCATCCGTCAGTCCGGCAAATCAGTTTTCCACACTTTATTTCTTCATGCCTGAAGATATTGATTTGATATTAGGTGTATTGTTTTATCATGACAAGTTACAGATCAAATTTAAATTTTGTTCCGGTCTGATGATTTTGTGCAGAGTTATGGTCCTTTGACTTAGAAAATTAACTAAAATAATCAGTTTTCCGCACTTTTTTTTGTCATTCTTGAAGATTTTGATTTGATAATTGGTATATAGTTTTATCATGACAAGTTACAGTTCAAGTTTGAATTTTGTTCCGGTCTGATGATTTTATGCAGAGTTATGGTCCTTGGACTAGAAAATTCACTCAAATAATCAGTTTTCTGCACTTTTTTCGTCATGCTTGAAGATATTGATTTGAAAATTGGTATATAATTTTATCATGACAAGTTACAGATCAAGTTCTAATTTTGTCCCGGTCTGATGATTTTGTGAAGAGTTATGGTCCTTGGACTTAGAAAATTAACTTAACTAATCAGTTTTCAACACTTTTTTTCGTCATGCTTGAAGATATTGACTTGATATTTGTTATATAGTTTACACCATGACAAGTTATAGATCAAGTTAGAATTTTGTTCCAACACAATGAATTTTTAACCGGTAGGGGACTATGTATTGCCATGCAATACTCACAGAATGCATGTTTTTGTATAGGTGTATTATACGAAATAATAGGTGGTTCTGTACGTGTTATCAAAATATGGAGGTTTAAAGTTTTGAATGGTAAAGTCATTAAATATACACGATAAGTTGATGAAATCATTACATCTGGTAGCATATTTAATTTACAGAAAGTGATATTTAGAATTTTCAGGTTTATCGATACGCGGGAATACCCTATTGTGGCAAAAAGCTGTAATTATACGCGAATACTCATAGAGTGGGCTAAAGAACTTGATTTGTGCCACACTCCTTGAACATATCATGTAATTTACTAATTGGTATTTGACCTAGTTCAAATAATAATCGATGCCTACCATTGTTTTTAGATATAGATAATTATCAAGTGTATAATTTATACGATATTTAATTCGTTGATTTCGATTGATACGTTTGCCATGAGACCTATCATTACGTTGTCTTTAATCAACAATATTCATGATATAAATAGAAGTTTTTATATATGTTCCTTTGTCCCAGTATATTGTCATTTAGACCCAGGGGATATGTCTGCAGTCGTTAAATCCAAGACATTTTGATAATTTTACGGTAATCTTGAAATTGTTTCTACGATTGCCCTTGTTGTTTCTGGATCGTACCGAGTGGTGGAATCTTATAAATTTAATATTGTGGTTGTGTTAACGTAAATGTTGGTAAATTATACTTGTGACTTTCTTATGTTTTCGTAAGCGGTATATTTGTGCTCGTTTAAAACTTTCCATCCTGGTTGTCCTACATTACTGTATATCACACTTTGGCTTCGTTCAAGTAAACAGATAAACGAGGCTTTTAGTTTTTCATGGAGCTGAGATTGAACCGGTTCAGAGAGGAAACCCTCCAAAAGCGTTTATAAACTGACAGCAAAAATAGGAAAAATTAAAATGTAAAAATATCAAAACGATATCTGTATTGACTTCGGAATAGATCAGAGGAAGTGAATGATGGATTTTCCAAATGTAAGATCATTTAAAAATTAAAAAAGAACTGTCCTAAAAATGAATACAGCACGTTATTAATTTAATGCGTCCGAAGTGCTTTTCTGGATCTACCTTCATTTTTTAATATTTGAAAGCCAAGGATTTATTAGAACCGAAACAGATTAAGAGCTATATGACCTTAAGTACCTAAAATAGCCAAATTCATCTAAGGTCAACTTCACCTGAGGGAGTTGACACCTACCTAAGGGTACCAGAAAATAATAGGATCAACATTTATTCAGGGGTTCTATAAAGCAAATGAAAAAGACAGTATTCCTTGATTTGGCTGGGTATCCTGGGACCTGAATCATTGATATTGGCAAGTCAATGAACATTAACTGTTAAAGGAGCTGATGCTTCCTCGATAATTAGGAAAATGTACGAAAAAGCTCCCAAAAAATTAAAAATTGAAACCGTTACAAAATTGCCTTTCAATACCATCATCTTCATATTTCCGAGTGAATTTGCATTGCTATACGACGTGTCTCGGTATTTTGTACATCCAACATTCATGTATAAATTTTTATACGACCGCAAAGATTTTTTGTGGTCGTATATTGGTATTACGTCGTCGTCGTCGTCGTCGTCGTCGTTGTCGTCGTCGTCCGCGTCGTCCGAAGACACTTAGTTTCCGGACAATAACTTTAGTTTCAGTAAATGGATCTCTATGAAATTTAAACACAAGGTTTGAACCACAAAAGGAAGGTTGGTATCGATTTTGAGGGTTATGGTTCCAACAGTTTAGGAATTAAGGGCCTAAAAAAAGGTCCAAATAAGCATTTTCTAGTTTCCAGACAATAACTTGTGTGTAAGTGTATGGATCTATCTGAAATTGTACCAAAAGGTTCCATACTAAAAAGGAAGGTTTGGATTGATTCTGGGGGTTATGGCTTTAACTGTTTAGGAATAAGGGGCCAAAAAGGGGCCAAAAACAATACTTTTCTAATACTTTGTATAAATTGCTTATTTCTTGACAATTTCAATAGGGTTTTATCCTTGAATTCTTGGGGTTCTGCAGTATCCTGAATCTAACCGTGTATTAAGTTTCGGATTTTGGGCCCCGTTTTTAAATTGGTCCACATTGAGGTCCCAGGGGTTCAAAATTAAACTTTGTTTGATTTCATCAAAAATTGAATTAGTGGGGTTCTTTGATATGCCGAATCTAACCGTGTATTTAGATTCTTAATTCTTGGTCCCGTTTTCAAATTGGTCTACATTAAGGTCCAAAGGATCCAAAATTAAACTTAGTTTGATTTTAACAAAAATTGAATTCTTGGGGTACTTTGATATGCTGAATCTAAACATGTATTTAGATTTTTGAATATGGGCCCAGTTTTCAAGTTGATCCAAATCGGGGTCCAAAATTAAACTTTGTTTGATTTCAACAAAAATTGAATATATGGGGTTCTTTGATATGCTGAATCTAACTGTGTATTAAGTTTTTGGATTTTGGGCCCCATTTTTAAATTGGTCTACATTGAGGTCAAAAGGGTCCAAAATTAAACTTTGTTTGATTTCATCAAAAATTAAATTATTGGGGTTCTTTCATATGCCGAATCTAACCGTGTATTTAGATTTTTAATTTTTTGTCCCGTTTTCAGATTGGTCTACATTAAGGTCAAAAGGGTCCAAAATTAAACTTAGTTTGATTTTAACAAAAATTGAATTCTTGGGGTTCTTTGATATGCTGAATCTAAACATATATTTAGATTTTTGCTTATGGGCCCAGTTTTCAAGTTGGTCCGAATCGGGGTCCAAAATTAAACTTTGTTTGATTTCAACAAAAATTGAATATATGGGGATCTTTGATATGCTGAATCTAACCATGTATTTAGATTTTTGATTTTTGGGCCCCGTTATAA